TGACGTCTGATATGTTGTTACTGCTGTAGTCATCTCTGCACCCTATTTCTCTGTTTGGGGTATTCCTCCAGAGGATGAAATCCTAGTTGCTCTGCTCCAGGGGGAGATATGGAAGAATGTTGTGACTAGAAGGAGGCCAGCCTAGACAAGGAAGGGCTGGAATAGATTTGCCTTGAAATGAAGCCATGATGAATAGTGAGGCAGAAAGCATAGGTCATCTGCATGTATTTAAAAACTATGAAGATGACTGAAAAAAAAGGTAGCATCAAGCTTAATGGTAAAATAATGAAAGAATACCCACTTAAGTAAGGAACAATATAAGAATGCTCATTGTTACTACTGTTAACAATGGCTTTGGAGGTATTAACAAATGTATTTAAATAAGAAAAAGAGGTTTAACATTGGAGGGAAAAAAGATGGCAAAGGTATTATTTGTAGAAAACACCTTTATTTACCCGAAAATTCAGAACCACCAACAACGAAACTATTATAAGCAATACGACAACTTAACAAAACGGTTGTGTACAAAACTACTGTACAATGATCAAGAGGTTTCCTAAATAAGACAGTCTACTGGATGGGAGAAAATATTTGCAAATGGTTTATCTGATAAGGGGTTAGATCCAAAGTATCTAAAGATACAACTCAACACACAGAAAACCAAATAAACCAATTTAAAATGTATAATATCTATAGAAAGGAAACTTCAAAATTCCACCAGAGAATGGAATGGCAGACTAAGAACCTCCAAAAATTCACTCCCCCCATAAAAGCAATGAGAACTCTGGCAAAAAATTTCAAAATCAACTTTTTTCAGAACTCTGAAGATGAACCAAAGGCTTGCAACAATCCAAGGAACATTTATTCAAGAAAAATGGCTGAATTCCAGTAAGAACAGAGAGCTTTTCAGAATTATAACTTGCCCTATTCTGATCCCCTTCTTACCAGCTCTATGGTAGCTTTGAAAGCCAACAGCCTCATAACATGGTAGCTGTGGAACCCAGCTACCTAGCAACCACTGGAGAGAACAGACAGGTTTGGGGCTCCTGAAAAAGCCCCACTCCAAGAGAATTACATAGTTTGACCTTTTTAGAGGCTCCTGGAAATTCCCACTCACAGGGCTTATCTTTATTTGACCTCATTCAGAGCTTACTCACTGCAAAAGCCTTTTCCTGGAACATTTGTTTAAAAAATAAAATCAGTAGTGACTGTTTAATATTGAAGGTACATGAAAAAGGGTAACAGTTATAGAGCAAAGAAGAGACTGCCCAAAAACTGAAAAGGAAGTTTGGGGAATGAGATGTCCATAGAAGACTTTGAAATATGCCAACACATTCCTGGGGAGCTAGAGGCCATTTGATGTACAAGCCAGTGCACATGCCCAGGAAAGACTTGAGAAGGTTCTAATCTCTCACCTCTGGTTAGTGCTGAGGCTCTGTATAAGCAGGAAGTGAAGGCTAAGCCTGAGTTGTAAACTGCCAGATTTAAGGTTTGTCCTAACACACAGACACAGACCCCTTGGCAAAGGCTGGGAAACTTACTGGTGCCAGGCATTTAAGGAATCTCTGTCCAATTATTGCCTAACCCCTGAGTTAAGTGAACAGAGACTTTAGTGGCCACACATGACAAAGAAAACAGACTACAAAATTAGTACAGGAAAGTCACTAAGCAAACACATAACAACAACCACTGCACCAAACATTAACTAAAATAAATCCTGGATGGTAGGTCTCTGACTTACAGAGTTGCCAAATTATATTATTTAAAATGCCTGGTTTTCAATAAGAAATGATGACATGAGCAACGGCACACTGTTGCTAGTAGTTTTTTGGTAGAGTCTTTCAGGTTTTCTATATATAATATCATGTCATCTATAAATAGTGAAAGTTTTACTTCTCCCTTACCAATTTGGATGCCTTTTCTTTTTTTTGTTGTCCGATTGCTGTGGCTAGGACCTTCAGTACTATGTTGAATTAAAGTGGTGAGAATGGACATCTTTGTCTTGTTTCTGACCTTCGGGGAAAAGCTCTGTTTTTCCCCATTGAGTATGATGTTTGCTGTGGGTTTTTCATATATGGCCTTTATTATGCTGAGGTATATTTCCTCTAGATCTACCTTGTTGAGGGCTTTTATCATGAATGGATGTTGTACTCTGTCAATGCTTTTTCTGTGTTTATCGAGATGATCATATGAGTTTTATCCTTTCTCTTATTGAAATGATGTATCACACATTGATTGATTTTTGAATATTGAAACACCCTTACATCCTGGGAATACAACCCCCTTGATCGTGATGAATGTTGTCTTTTTCATTGTATTGTTGGATTTGGTTTGTTAATATTTTGTTGAGGATTTTTGCATCTACATTCATCAGGGATACTGGCAAGTAGCTCTGTTTCTTTGTGGTGTCTTGCTACTTAATTTTTTTGAAAAAGATTTTATTTATTTGACAGAGAGAGAGAAAGAGAGAGAGAGAGTACACAAGCAGGGAGAGCAGCAGGCAGAGGGAGAGGGAGAAGCAGGCTCCCCGCTAAGCAGAGAGCCTGATGTGGAACTTGATCCCACGACTTCAGGATCACGACCGGAGCCAAAGACAGATGCTTAACTGACTGAGCCACCCAGGTGCCCCAATTTTAAGAGCTCTTTAATATCCCCTTAATATGTTAGTGATATTAGCCATTTGTCTGTTATATATGTTGCAAATATTTTCTCCTGGTTTGTCAATTGTGCTCTGACTTTGTTTATGATGGCTTTCGACCATGAGAAATGTTTTAATGCAAATTTATCATTTTTTTTTTATTATTCTGGATTTCAAGTCATAGTTAGACTTTTCCCTACACTGAAGCTAAAGAGGAAGCCATTTGTGTTGTCTGCTAGTACTTGTAAGTTTCAGTTTTTGCATTTAGATCTCTAATCCAGTTAGTATTTATTTATTTATTTATTTTAAAAAGATTTTATTTATTTATTTGACAGAGAGAGAAGGAGCAGGAACACAAGCAGGGCGAGTGGGAGAGGGAGAAGCAGGCTTCCCGCTGAGCAGGGAGCCCGATGCAGGGCAGACGTTTAATGACTGAGCCACTCAGGCGCCCTAGAATTTATTTTTATGTGAAGTGTTAGGTATGGTTCTACTTTTATCTTTCCCCAAATGGCTCCTCAGTTGTTTTCAGCACTATTTTTTATTTTATTTTATTTTATTTTTTTTAAAGATTTTTATTTATTTATTTGACAGAGAGACACAGCGAGAGCAGGAACACAAGCAGGGGGAGTGGGAGAGGGAGAAGCAGGCTTCCCGCGGAGCAGGGAGCCCAATGCGGGGCTCGATCCCAGGACCCTGGGATCATGACCTGAGCTGAAGGCAGACGCTTAACGACTAAGCCACCCAGGCGCCCTCAGCACTATTTTTTAGAAAATCCATTTTTGCCCCAGCAGCTTGAGATGACCCTTTACCAATATTCCAAGTTTCCAAATGTGCCTCGGTTTATTTTGGGACTTTCTTTTCTATTCTATTCTATTCTATTCTGCTGGTCTGTTTGTCTACTCATGCACTGATACTGCACAGTTTTGTCATAGAGGCTTTATATTATGTTTTCTTGTCTGATAAGGCTAGGGCTCCTCAGATTTTCCTTTTCATTGTTAGCCAAAATATTTTTGCATATTTGTTTTTTTCTATAGCGTATTCTTGTTGAAAATGCATAGCCTGCATTTAATCATGAGGAAACTGAGGGAAATTGTATACAAGAATTGGCTAATAATCAAAAGATGAAGGAATTTTCCAGAATTAAAGGAGAGTAAGGAAACATGATAAATGTACTATGTGGTCCTAGATAGATAAAAGGACATGGGACAAGTGACAAGTTTAAATGAGGTCTATAGATTAGATAATAATAATGCATCACTATTACTTTACTGGTTGGCTGTACTATGTTTATGTAGGTTATAAACATTTGGGGAAACTGGGTAAAGGATATATGGGAATTCTTTGTAATATTTTGGCAATCTTTTTATAAACCTGAAATGATTTCAAATTAAAAAATAAAAACATTTGGGGCGCCTGGGTGGCTCAGTCATTAAGCGTCTGCCTTCAGCTCAGGTCATAACCCCAGGGTACTGGGATTGAGCCCCACATCAGGCTCCCTGCTCAGCAGGAAGCCTGCTTCTCCTTCTCCCACTCCCCTGGTTGTGTTCCTGCTCTCACTATCTTGCTCTGTCAAATAAAATCTTTAAAAAAAAAAGTAAAAACATTTAAAGATGAGAAAAAATTTAATTATACATAATAAATATTTATTATATTTATAAAATATTGGAATATTATATATAATCAATCTCTTTGCCAAACGTAGGAGTTACAGACTTGTTACTGGCAAGAGGGAAGCAAATGGGTGAGCAAAACTATTGTGATGTAGGAGCATTTCCTAGTGTAGCTTTCATTAAACTGTCAGTGCAGGAACTGGATTCCTAGGAAGGTTACAATGTTTCCTGATAAGACTTGCCAACCACTCTGGCAATGATGTTGGCATCACTTGAAGGTACAGGCCAGATGGCCTGCCTTCCGATGCATTTGGGCAAGTAGCAGAGGCAAAGGGAGGTTGGATAAATATGTGGAAGGGTTATTTAGTGTGATATAGTACCAAAACTCTAAGGACTTGCAGCTAATTTAAAATTCCAACTTTTGAAGCTTTATCCAGGCCACCTAAAGCCTTGACTCACTCTCAGATTCAGAAAAAGAGAGCTCAATGATTAACAGAGGCAGGGAGAAAGGCTGTGGTAGAAATGCATTCCTGATGGCCCAGAAAGTGCTGCTTGTTGACATATAAAGTCAGAGTTTAGTATCAGCAAGCAAAGCTGCTTGATTCCCATAACTCATCAGCCTCTGTCACTCTGTATGTGGATCAGCTTTTCTGCCCAGGTCAGAGAGCAGGGATCCCTTAGAGGAGCATGTTGTACTTACTGTGGGGTGCCTGATGTTTGGGTTTTCTAACTGGGAAGCATTTCTGACTCACCTCATGTGGAGCATCTGAACTGCCTGTTTGTGGAAAAAAATCTTCTCTCTGGTACTTCAAATGACTCTAAGAAGAACCATGGCTTGCCCACTGGAGGGGCCTCTGTGAAATAAAGCAGGTTGGTTAGACTTTATTTTCAAGAAAGTAGAATTAGAAAATCAATCCTTACATTACATGTAACACATTTGATGGTCAGGCTCAAACGTGGCTATTTTAAATCTGGGAGTATTTCAGTGCGACATCTGAGAGCTATGCATTATAAAAGCAGAAAAGCATGTACTCTTTTTTTTTTGTCAGCTTTCTTAGCCTGATACCCTAAAGATGCAAAATTAATCATACTGAACAGAGAAAACATAACAAATTACTTAATACCTTTGACTTGAATTCTACCTTTATTGAAAAGGCAAGCAGCTAGTGGTTTACATTATTGTATGTACCTTAAATTAAGTTAGAAACTGTTATAAGATGGAAGATTTTTGTGGTCATCAGTATTTCAAAAACACTTCAGATAAAGGCTACCTAGAATAATTACAAGTACATTTTAAGAGTTGTAAAATCACCTTGCAGGAAGTAATTTGTTGAACTACACTAGAGGTTTTACCAGAAAGGAAGAACAATGTCATAAATAATTTTGTGAGTCACATTAAAAGGAATTTGATGGGACGTCTGGTTGGCAAAGTTGGTTAAGCATCCCACTCTTGGTTTCAGCTCAGGTCATGATCTCAGGGTCGTGAGATAGAGCTCCGCGTCAGGCTCCATGCTCAGTGCAGAGTCTGTTTGAGATTCTCTCTCCCTCTCTCTCTGCCCCTCCCACTCATCCTCTCTCTCGCTCTCTCAAATAAGTAAATCTTTATTTTTTTAAAAGATTTTATTTATTTGTCAGAGAGGGAGAGTGAGTGCACAAGCAGAGGGAGCGGCAGGCAGAGGGAGAAGCAGACTCCTTACTGGGTAAGGAGGAGCCTGATGCAGGACTTGATCCCAGGACCCTGGGATCATGACCTGAGCCGAAAGCAGATGCTTAACAGATTGAGCCACCCAGACATCCCCAAAATAAGTAAATCTTTAAAGAAAAAAAAAGAATTTGGTGAGAAGGGTGATTGGTAAAATGTATCTTGTAGTTAAGAAATCTAGCTTGAAGAGTTGTAGAGCTTGACACTGTTGGGATATAGTTGCATACATTTGCTGCTTATGCTTCATATACTAGTGCAAAATGATAATAAAGGTAGTAATTTTGAGGGCTTCAATTATGCCAAACTACTAGATATATAATTACTAAAGTACTAAAATAATATTTTAAAAATAATCATAACTGGGGCACCTGGGTGTCTCAGTTGGTTAAGCGTCTGCCTTTGGCTCAGGTCATTATCTCAGGGTCCTGGGATCCAGCCCAGTGTCTGGCTCCCTGCTCAGCAGGAAGTCGGCTTCTCTCTCTCCTTCTGCCCCTCCCTCCTTTTCGTGCTCTCTCTCTCTCAAATGAATAAATAAAACCTTTAAAAAATTATAACTACCATTTCTTTAAAAAAAAAGCATATAACTCACAGTTAGTAGACTTATTAAATTGGGTCAACTATATTATTGGAGGTATATTTTAGGTTTGTGGGTTCTCATAAAACAAAACTCACAAGTCCTCTAGAATTATCAGAACCACTGAGGGCTAGCAATTAATGCAAAGGAACTGGGGGTTTGGTAAGAGATAGTTGGTTACAATCCCAAATTCTAATGCTATAGTCACACCATTTATACCACTTAATTACCTAGAAAATCAGCTGAATTTGAGCACTTTTAGTCATGGTTCCAAATTCATTTACATATGTTAATACCGAAGCTATGGCATTTGTCTTGTTATAAATACCTTGCCTCACATTGTAATGTAAAATGTGTGATACTTAGCACTGCTTAAATGAATTATATAAATGATAGAAAATTTGGATAAATTGAGGCTTTTTAAATTAGTATTATTGTTGTTACTTTTTCCATTAGTACCTGCAGCTTCAGCAATGACTTTGTGACACTCTGTCTTAACAGTGACCAGTTCTGTAGCTTTTAAAATGCTGGATTTTCAGTTGTTTGTTTTGTTTGTTTTTTTAGAGAGAGAAAGAGAGAGTGCACATGGGCAAGCAGGGGAAGGAGCAGCAGGAGAGAGAATCTTAAGCAGGCTCCAAGCCCAGCACAGAACTGACCCAGGGCTTGATCTCATGATTGAAGGTCATGACCTGAGCTGAAATCAAGAGTTGGTCGCTTAACTGACTGAGCCACCCAGGCACCCCTGGATTTTCAGTTGTAAGGCAGATTTTGTCAGTGCCTTTTCTCTTATTAAATTCTCTAATATTAATGAACAATGAAACATCCATTAAGTTATTAGGAAATAATACATATAATACTGGATTGTATAATGGTGAGAAGTTTATGTCTTCAACAAAATTGTTAGACCTGTCCCTGACTTTGAGCAATATCCACATTATAGTCATTAACTGAAAAATAAAGATAAGAATATGCCATTGTTTCCATTATGTGAAAAATAAAATCTTATAAATCATAAAACATCCCAACTCTTATTACAACTATTTAAAAGACTGTGAACTTATCAAAATGCATATGAAAAAAGTTTTTTGTTTTTTTTCTAAAGTAGGTCCACATCCAACATGGGGCTTTAACTCATGACCCTGAGATCATGAGCCACATGCTCTACCCAGTGAGCCAGCCAGGCACCCTGAAACAAGTTTTAATATACTTTACAGTGGGTAGATTTATCTGAATTCTCAGGCATGGTTATGGCAGAGCAAGAATTCTCTAGCAAATTCAATAAAAAGCATGACCGAAAAATATTTGAAAAGTTCTATGGGAGAAGTGCCAGTAAAGACAGCAGGATTGGACAGACAAGAAGGGGAGTTCAAGAGAGCACCATCCCAGGGGAGGCCAGAAAGTCTCCAACAAGAACTAGTGGTCACTAGTCTTGGGCAAGAGCGGGGACAGCTTTTCCAGAGACTGGAAGAAAGTGAGCATGTAGCCTATTGTTTTTGTTTTCCTAGCATCTCTTATCTCTGCTTTTGGTAACAGTCCCAAACTTTTGTTTGGGGACACACTAAGAGGTGGAGAAGTGGGAGTATGATCTAAGGGAAGCCAATCAGATTCTATTTATCTCAGGAATTTGAAAGTTCATAAAGGAAACACAAGAAGGGAAGTGACTGGACCTTGGTCATTCTGGTGGCATTGGCTCAAAGGGGACTCCTGAGTTCCTATGGTTTATGCCCTCTCCAAGCCCTGCCTGCTTACCTTTTCCTTACCTGTGAGTTCTGTAGGTTCTTAACCCCAAATTCAATTTTGTCAGTTTGCCAGTCAAATTCTGTTATGTGCAAATAAAGAGCTGTATGAGATACAGAAGGTGTGTATACATACAAACATTTTAAGTATGAGGTGAGGAGAGGGAGTCTGTTCTCTGCTGCAGAGGCAAGTGGGTAGATAATATGAAAAACTGTGAAGTTATGGAAGGGTGCTGATCAAGGGTAAGTATAAAGATCAAGGATAAGTAAAAGGACTGCTAATCAGTGCTGAGGGTTCAGCCAAATTTGCAGAATATGAATTTGTAGTGATTTCATTTGGGAACCTAGGTGCAGGAAAGGAGAAAGGACATAATTGGACTGATTCAAAGTTAGGAGTTAGCAGAGCTATGTGTCAGAAAGGTGACATGAGGATATTAAAGAGCTTTCAAGAGAAGTTGATGGCTACTATCATGCGTGCTATGCAGACCAGGAAAGGAAATAAAGCTAAGAAGGTATTATTGTGGGAAAAGGAGAGGAGTGGGGATTGAGGTTTGGGTTAGTTGAGAACAGACTAGGGAATAAAAGAAAGACCTGAAAATTTAAGAGGCTGCTCTATTGCAGTCCAGATCTAGAAGAAAGAAAATCAGGTGATAAGGTCCAGGGTGTGAGTGAGGGGCTCTGAGAATTGGGATGTTGATTAAGGTTCTTGAGGCACATTAAGCCCAGGGTCATTACCTGGCTACTGAAGTTGATGATGTCAGATGAGATGCAAGTGCAGTAACTGGCTCACCTAAATTTTACCAAATTGGAAACGTTTTTGTTTTGTTTTTTATGAATGCGAGGCATTCTACTAGAAGGCTGGTAGATAAACACTTAAAAATAAAGTTCCCTTAAGAGAGTAAGACTAGCTACAGTGTAGCACAGTGGCTCACTGTGTAGGTTGTCGGCTCTGCCTCTTTACTGATTGTCTAACCCTGAGGAAGTTACTTATCTTTCTGTGCCTGTTTCTTCAACCATAATATAAAGATAATAGTACCTATTTCACAGGATCATTTAAGAATTGAATGAATTAATACGTATAAAATGTTTGGTAAATACTGAGCACTTCATAAAGGGAGACATATATAAATAAATTATAATACAATGTTATACTTGTACAAATATATAGAAAATGACAGGGGCATTTAAACTGTACTTGGGATAATCAGGGAAGTTTTCACTGAGGTGATAGAGGAAAAAACAAAAGAAAGCCCAAGAGTTGGACAAAGAGCATAGGGAAAGTGGTAAGATCCATGTTTAATGCTCGCCAGAAGGCAGGCATCGTGCTGTTTTAAGAATATCACCACACTTAATACCATGTCCCTGCGAGATACGTATCTTCCTTTTTCTGAGGACGAAAGGTAACAGAGTTTAAGTAACTTGCCCTTGCGTACAAAGGAACGAAAAGAAACTGGGATTTTTAATTAAAGAAGTAAGTTGGTCTGGCACAAGAGGGACTCAGCAGAGGGAAAAATCTGGATCACTGAGCGCTAGTGGGGAGCTGGGAGAATTGAAGATATATTCACAACAGAGATCAGATTATAAAAGATTTTTGCTTGTCTTACGAGAAGGCTGCACTTGAATCCGTGGACAACGCTGAATGAGTAAAAAGGCTTTTTTAAGCAGAACCTACACAAAGAGTTGAAACCGAGCAGGTCGGCAGGCACGGTGATGGTCAGATTGGTCCGTCCTCCTCCCCTTACTGAGCGCCAGTGCGTCGACCCAGCAGCGAAGGGCAGCGGAGATGCAACCAGGAAGAGACGCAGCTGGGAAAGCTTTCCCTCCGCCCACGTCGCCCGACGGCCGAAGCCCCTAGGCCGGTTGTTCCACAGGTTCCTTTCGGGACTCCCCTCTTGTGACAAGCCAGGTTGGCAGCGTGCTCCGAGGCCAGAGCCTGCGTCCTCCCGCTCCAAGACAGCCCGGCCACCAGCGCCCCCTGGCGTCGGCATCCTCTCTTCCCCTCCAGCTTCCACTTTAGCCCAGCTGCAGGCCTTCTAACTCAACTCCCTAGGCCGTGGCCACTTCTTTTTTCTGGCGGCGCCGCACATCCGGTCACGTGCGAGCCAGGTCACGTGAGAGACGATCACGTGCCGGGGCCGCGGAGCTCTGGGTTCGGGGCTCCGCTTCCGCAGACCTGCGGGCCTCGGCGGGTGCGGTCGTGGCTGCCCCGGAGCCCGCCGAACTGCACGGCCGGGATGGTGAGGGTGACGGGCAGGGGCGGGCAGGAGTCGGCCGGGGTGGGCCGGGGTGGGGTGGGGCGGGGCCGCCGCCTCCCCGAAGCTCACCCCCTCTTCTCCGTCCTTCCCGCTGCAGATGAACCGGACGACCCCGGACCAGGAGCGGGCGCCGGCGTCCGAGCCCGTGTGGGAGCGACCCTGGTCGGTGGAGGAGATCCGCAGGAGCAGCCAGAGCTGGTCGCTGGCGGCTGATGCGGGCGTGAGAGGCGGGCCCCAGGGACGGGAGGGGAGCGCGGGCCGGCTGGGGTGACGCGCGGCCTGCGAGCAGGAGGACGGGAGCCGCGATTCCTTCTCCACCCGGTCAATCCCGCTGCCTCTGTTATTTTTAATAACACGTCCCTTCCCGCGCTCAAAAACGCCAAGGTGGCGGACCCTAGGCGCTTGGGCTGGGGCGAGCCCGTCGTCCTTAGCCGGCTGAGTGCCCCACTTGGACTGCAGCCCAGATGCGGGGTTCTCTTCCTTGTTTGGGTTTTCTAGCAGTGCACCCATCTCCATCTCGAGGGAGGCAGATTTTTCTCTGCGCCGCGGAATTGCTAGGGCACCAGTGAGGCCATTCCACGTTGGGACCCGGACTGTATGGGGAGGCAGACAAGCCTCTATATAGATATCCCGGAGTGGGACTTTAAAGGCTGGGGACCCTAGAAACTCAAAACTGGGATTCCAAAATCCCATATGAATACATTTTTTAAAAAAATAAGAGTGGTGGTTTGTTATTTCGCTCTTCGTCTGGGATTTCTGAAGAATGATAACCAGACAAGACTTTAAAATTTCTCCAGAAATGAGGTAGCAAGTGTCCATTGACTCCTTGCCACTGTTTCGATGAGCTGCTTTAGTGTTTTCCGTGCTGCTTGGTCTTGGGTACTGTCAAAAGGGGCATCCCTACATTCCAGCACACACACCCTCACAGAGGTGAAAAGAAATGGGTTCTTTTTTTTTTTTTTTTGACGCACGGAATAGACGCATGTGATATTGATATTGCTGTGTGCTTGTTTTCTAAATAGCTGCTACAGTTTCTACAGGAATTCTCACAGCAGACTATCTCTAGGACCCATGAAATCAAGAAACAAGTGGATGGACTAATCCGGGAAACTAAAGCCACAGATTGTCGCCTTCATAATGTCTTCAATGACTTCCTTATGCTGTCTAATACCCAGTTCATTGAGAACGTGAGTTACTTAATTGTATCAGACTTACAAATAATGCTTTTTGGAGAAGCAAGAGTCTGTTGTGATATTAAGTGATTTATTATTAGTTACCCTCCTTAAATTTGATGAACGTAGGGGTTCTTGGGAATTGAAGCTTCTTTCTCTAGGATTAATGCCTTTTTTTAATTAGTAAAGTTTATTTTCTCAAGCCTTTAAAAAAATCTGATGATATAATTTTCTTACATTCTAGTTTTTCCATCCCTTTTTAGTTTTAGTTGTGCTGACTTGTATGGCATTCCAACAAGCCTTACTGTGGACATGTTCTGTTAAGGAGAGCTATACACCTAGTTTGATCCTCTGGGCACCAGAATGTGGCTGCAATATTGACTGTGTCCATCACGTTCTGATAAGTTATATTAAAGGCATGTGTGTGCTTACTTGGAATAGTTTTTTTTTTTTTTTATATTTGTTAACATTTTGTTACAATGGCTGAACCTGTGATACAGAACCAACTCTAAACAGTACTGAGCTTTGAGCCATGTGTGATTTTTCCCTATATATGTATTGACTTTCTAAGTGCTAGGTCCTAGGAATACAGAGGTAAATTAGATAGACCTTTCCTTAGAGAAGATCACAATCCTCCATAATAGTGAAATTCCTGAATAGAAAGGAAACAAATGTGGCTAGAGCCCAGTGAGTGAAGGGGAGGGTGTTAAGAGATGAGAATGGAGAAGAAGCTTAGTTAAGCTGATCTCTATGTCTCATAGGAAGGTTAACTTCCTGAGTGTCAGCCTTAACTAATCTGTGAAAAGAGGATTATTAAAGTAGCCTATTTCCTGAGATTGTTAGGTGTAAAGTAGTAGAAAGGATTTTGAAAATTGCAAAATTATAAAAGCCCAAGATTCAGGATTGTGAAGAGAAGGCCAAATACTGTCATGCAGGTATCTTTTGTCGCATAGTAATGCATTTTTTTAGTAGTTCATGTTGAATTGCCACTACTGTTTTTGGGAAACTGTGTAAAATAAGGATATTAGTAAAGGTGTTAGAGATCTCTTTGCTAGTAAGTTTAAGATATGGCAAGTATTGGGGCGCCTGGGTGGCTCAGTTGTTAAGATGTGGCAAGTATTCTAGTAAAATCTGTAGTCACTTTTTGGTCATCGATATAGGATATCGATGCTTGGTTCTGAGCATCTTTCTCACTGGCAGAGGCGCTTTACAGGTACATGCAGCCCCGTTTCCTTTTCATCAAGCCAAATTTGGTCTCCTTTTAAGTATACTTGTTTGCCCTCATTCTGTACCTTTCTTGCTGGGTCAAGTGCTTAGCTCTTCTCTGCAGTCAGTGCTGGAGCCCTAGAATGGGAAAGGAGTAGAATTGGAAGGGTCCCTTTGTACCCAATGTGCCTGTACCACATGGTACTAAATTGGTACCCAATTGAATTTTTTGGGAGGAGGCATCATAAGCAATTTTTTTTTAAATCACAGTCTTCATGTCATACATAAGTATGACAGCTTTATTCAACTGTCACATTCTGGCCAAGTTTTTTTAGATTTTGAGTTTTCCTTGATCTAGTGGGTATTTTTGCTCCTGTTATTTGTTTATTTATTTATTTTTTGGTAGTAGTTCTTTATTTCTGTTCACTTCTTGGATTCCCTGTTTTCCATACATCTTTCCATTGCCTTAGTGCTTATGCTTCTTCCCCTTCCATTCTGTAGCCAGAATTCCCCTCTCACCATGCCTGTTGCCACTGCCAAGTTTTACTGCTTCTCACACCTCCCTGTAATGCCACGTGTTACCTGGTCTTCTCATTTGTGGCAGAACATGATGATGTGAAGAGTACAGCTGATGTATAATAAAACTCTGAAAAAAATCTATATGCCGTTAATAGTTTTGGCAGTGATTTGGATTTTTACATATTTTCCTCAAACCCTGACATTGGTACTCACGTATTACAATTCTGGCTTGAACAATGGTGCCATTTGGTTTCATGGTAGTTTATTGGAAAGGTATTCAAAGTCACAGGTAGGTTTCTGGGTTTTAGTAATTAACCTCAAAAGCAGGTTGAAAAATGCATTACAGAATTAGTGAAATTAAAGAGCAATCAGAACTTTCTAGGGCAAGAGAAATTAGTACCTTTAGTAAAGGCTCAAGAGGGGACTCTGATGGAGGAGAAATACTGATTAACAGTGGCCAGTGCCTCAGTGTGTTATCAGAAGGGAACAGAATTCTTAAAGTTTCATTAATCTGTTAATTCAGGCATTTCGTCCTGAAACATTAAGTGACCTAGAAGTGACTTTTTTTTAAGTTTATTTTTTTAGTAATCTCTACACCCAAAGTAGAGTTCGAACTCATGACCCCAGGGTCAAGAGTCACATGCTCTTCTGACTGAGCCAGCCAGGCGCCCCAGAAATGAGTTCTTTAGTAGCACTTCTCATGATTGTAATTTCATATTTATTAATACGATTTGATGGGTCAGACTACCCTAGTAAATCAAGTCCCACATTTGTTCTAAATGTTGTGTTCCTTGGGCCCAGCACATTCCTGATTTGTAGGACCCTAATGAATATTTGAATGAATGAATGAATGAGAGAACACATAAATGAAAAGGATCAGGGCTGTTTATAATCTGTTAAGTCCTCAGCCCGTGGTCCCTTTTCTCCAGTTCACCACCTCTCTCTTACCCCGTCTCCCCAAATGAAGAAAAGATCCTTTCAGGGAAAATACTATATTTAACAATTCTGGGAATGGCTGCCTGATTTTAAAATTATCAAAAAACATGTGAAGCTGTGAGGTTAGCCTGGTAAGAGTGAAGGAAGTTAGCACTGATTATCTGCTGCTTGCTGAGCACTTGAGATACATAGTTCTTGTCACTCTCAGAAGATCCATGGGTTTTATATATTTGTTGGATAATTTTTTAGAGGTTGTGTTTGGCCTCCCAGCCAGTCTACTGGTATCTTATGAGGTAGTTTTTTTTTTTTTTTAAGATTTTATTTATTTATTGACAGAGAGAGAGACAGCAAGAGAGGGAACACAAGCAGGGGGAGTGGGAGAGGGAGAAGCAGGCTTCCCGCCGAGCAGGGAGCCCGATGCGGGGCTTGATCCCAGGACCCTGGGATCCTGACCTGAGCCGAAGGCAGACGCTCAACGACTGAGCCACCCAGGCGCCCCTTTGAGGTAGTTTTTAATGACAAGCAGGGGAAAGAGTAGGATGCTGGTGATGTTCAGACTTGAGCGTGAAGCTCAACCTTTTAGGTTGTCTCGCTATTTAAAATCTGAAGTGACCTTGGTAGCTGCCATGTCTGAAAGCTTCAATATTAAGATTTATTTACTTTCCTGTTCCTGTCTTTCAAAATTACGCCCCCCCAAGTTTCTTGTTTTTATAGAAAATTTATTTTTTAGAAGTATGGAAAAAAGCAGCATCTGAAATTTCAGATGGTGGAGGGGTGTCTCTCAGCATTCTGGCATATATATTCTAAGTCCATTTCCCGTGCAGACATTGGCCTTTAAGTTTTTTCCTCTCTTGTTACAAAAATAATGAACACTTGTGAAGAGGTTGGCATAGATAAAAAGTACTAAAGTATAAAAAAATTAAAACCACAAAAAATCAACTAGAATTCCACCTCCCCAAGTTACCCAGCCATTGAACACTTTGCCATATTTCTTTCTAGTCCTTTTTTTTTTTAATTTTAATCTTTTCTGTATGTGTATATTTGTAGGCTGCATTTTTCTTAATATTAGTTTATTATTTTATAGGCATTTTAATATTCTTTCAATATAAAACTTTTTTTTAAAGATTTTATTTAATTGAGAGAGAGAGAATGAGAGATAGAGAGCACGAGAGGGAAGAGGGTCAGAGGGAGAAGCAGACTCCATGCTGAGCAGGGAGCCCGATGCGGGACTCGATCCTGGGACTCCAGGATCATGACCCGAGCTGAAGGCAGTTGCTTAACCAACTGAGCCACCTAGGCGCCCTCAATATAAAACTTTTTTAAAAAAGATTTTATTTATTTGAGAGAGAGTGTGAGAAGGGGGAGGCAGATGGAGAGGGAGAGGCAGACTTCTCTGCTGAGCAGGGAGCCCAACACAGGGCTCGATCCCAGGACCCTGGGATCATGACCTGAGCCGAAGGCAGATGCTTAACGACTGAGCCACCCAGGCACCCCGACAATCTTTCAATATAAAACTTTTAATGGAGTCTTTCTAATGTCTAGAGAAGAACAGATAATAATCACAAATGTTAATAATATGCACCACTTTGCATCAACAGACTTTAATATTTTTCCATATTTGCTTCACAGGCACCAACTTCCCATTTTTTACCTTAACTCTAAATATTTTGGGTGAAGGCCTCTTTGTATATCTGTGTTTTTATTCTTACCTGGAAAGTATATATCTGCATGGATGTGTATGGGTGCTTATATATGTAGTATGAGATAGGAATGCTACTTTGTTTTTTTTCCCCACATGGGTAAGCTTTATTGTAAGTTCTTTTCCTCACTGACTCATGTGTATGAAAGTATGTATATATACATTTATGTGTTTTGTGAATATAAAATTAGGCTTACATGTAATTATGGATCAGTTTCTTGCCCCTGTATTTTGATTATCTGTATGCCAGTATTCCAATCTTAAGTACTGCAGATTTCAAATAAGTCTTACTAGGGCACGTTCCCATGTCTTCTCTTTAATAGTTAAATTGTTAGAAATATAAATGGGATAATAAAAGTTTATCAACCATTTTAAGCAACAGGATGAAAAAGACTTTTACCATTTCCATTGCTCAAAGTGTTAAAGCTCTCTTTACCTAGTCGGTAAGTTCTACCAGTTGACATTTTCAGTAGCCTCACATTTAAGTACCTGTATCATTGCCATGTCAGCATTAAGTATTAGGTTTCACCAAAAGGTATGAAAATGATATCTTAATTGTTCTTGTGACTCTTTGGACAACCAAGCATGAGATTGAACTTTTTTCATGTTTCCTAGTCATTTGTATCTTTTTAAGTTTCATTTTTGGTGAATTAACTGCTGCTTTTTGCTTTTTGTCCTTTACCGATGGCCTCAGCCATTTGTTGAATAATTGTTTCTTCTCTTTGTCTTCTTGTATTGTGTGTGGAATTTGTATATTGCAATGTATTCCAAATGATATTTTGACCATTTAACAATGAATTTGCTTCCATATGTAGCGTGTATATGATGAAGAGGTGGAGGAGCCGGTGCTCAAGGCTGAGACAGAAAAAGCAGAACAGGTACTTGCATTAAATCACTCTTCTGTTGAGTCTTGATTTAGAGAAAGAAAGTGGTGGAAATTTGTAACGTGGCTGGTGGGGGATTGTGGGCAGGAGGATGGTTACTGGAGGAAATGGGAAAGGCTGCTCCTGATAGCCCAAGAGTTGAACTCTTCAGTTTGTTTCTGAAATGTAGTATAGTGAGAAATATATAAAGTTTCTGAATTCTGGCTTCAGTAGAGCACAGGTCAGTGGAGATTTTCTGTAAAAGGCCAGATAGCAAATGTTTTAGGTTTGTCTGGCTACATCGGTCTCTGCCTCTTTTCCTTCTTTTTTCTCTTTCTCCTCCTTCCCCTCACCCCCTTAGGAAATGTAAAAACCATTCTTACCTTGAGGGCTATACAAAAGCAGGCCACAGACTGGGCTGTAGGTTGTTAGTTCTTTGAAGACCATGTTGCCCTGTTCTTTCATGACAGCTTGGATTCCTACCAAGTTGGGAATGACAGTGAGATGAATGCTGGTTTAGTCCACACACATTTGAGTGCCTCCTGTGTTCGTACAGAGGACACGGAATGTGCAGTGTGCATTTATTGACTGCTAAGATTGCAGGGAGCTGGTGACTTAAAGAATTTAAGGAGCTTATGATCTTGGTTGGGGCACTAGGGCATACTATGTCAGAACTGCTAACTGTTCTGGAAGTTCAGATGAGAAGAGCTCAGTGATGTAAGCAGGGACAACCTACAAGGATAAGATGTTAGCTAGGTGAAGAAAGAAGGGCCAGATTTTAAGGCCATTTCAGTGAGCGAATGCCAGCTGCTAAAGGTCAGTGTTGGGGGATGGACTATGTTAATGGAAGATACTAGTGGTTAGGCACGAAGAAGGAGAAGGGTGTGAGGGGTGGGTGCTCGAGGGCTTCATAAACCAGGCTAAGGAGTCTAGGGGCAGTAGTTTCTCTCCTTTTACCTTCTGTGGCTTCACACGTTCTAGATGCGTAATCATTTTTCCTGGGTGTTGCCACATCATGGACCAAAGCGTAGGTAAGACATTCTGGGCTTTCTAGCCCTCTGGCAGAAGTTGTACCCTTTGTCTCCCACTCTGGAAAGCCCTGGAATATAAGTTTATAATGGGAGTAGCCTTGGCTCAGCTCTCATTTATTGAGAAAATACACATCACTTGAAAAAGTTGGTACTTTATCAGTAGCTGTTGCTTAGATGAAGCTGTTAGGATAGGATGTTAGAAACCACCTACATTCTGCCTATTCTCAGCTTTTAAAAAAAGTTTTTTTTTTTAATGATCCTCAAATGATTTGCTAACCATTTAAATTTAAATACAGTGGTATATGGTTATACCAAGTCAGGTTCAATGTGAAGTGATGAGTGTGTAGTGTACTGTTTTTAAAAAGCTACTATGTATTTATTTCACAAACATGTTTTCACACACTTAGTGCACTATTAGCTATTTGACTGGAACCAAGCATACCAGAGTGGAAAAAAGATGCACCCAGAACAAAAAAGCCGCATTAGAAAGACTTCCATACTTGAGGTAGAAGTATAAGAAACTCATAGGGTTTTCCCTTTTACCCTCAAAACAGCAATGTTTGGTTTGGTTCTTTCTATAATTATGTATCAACTTCTGGAATATTTGTGAAGAGGGGAAATGACACTAAATTTTTTTTCAATATTTCTCACAACTGTTGACACAGTTGAGTGAGTGAGGGGACTGTCACTGGGAGCTGCTGTTGTAGGAAATGGAGGCCTGTGGAGTATTTTCAGCAGGTTGGTGATATGTACAGACATTCAAACCAAGAGAGGGTCAGTTCCATTTCTGACTTATCCTGTACATCATCCTGGAACAATGCCCCCACATATTTTGACCATTTAACAATGAATTTGCTTCCATATGTAGTGTATATATGATAAAGAGGTGGAGGAGCCGGTGCTCAGGGCTGAGACAGAAAAAGACCCTCTCTTGGTTTGAAATGAATTTATAAGATATCCATGAGTACTAGGTTTTAGTTTTTGTATTTTAACTAATTGAAAAATGACATCTCTGGCTGGAGTATTTCTTCTAAGTCTTAACTTCTGTAATTGTCCAAAGACCTATTAACCAAGGTTTGTGGGATCCAGTCATGATGAACCTGAAAGTCTAGGCCCTTCATTCCTCTAGTGGCCGGGGATTGATGTACATTTCACGGGCAGGGGATTTTTACATAGGTTACCTCGCTAAACCATCATACCAGAGTTGTGCTTTTGTTTCTGTAGATGGTGAACTGGGAACTCTGGGACCTTAGGTAGTTTGATCCATGTCCAGAAGGTGTCAAACTTGGGGTTTAAAACTTACTCCAAAGTCTGTTGAGGCATTCAGTAGAATCTGACTTTTGTTAACATTTTTAATTGATTTCTTTTGTTTTATTGTGTTTTATTAGGGTGGTATCAATATTTTGGAGATCCATGCTGAACAGTATTTTTTTGTAGGAGAAGACCCGGGAACAGAAAGAAGTAGATCTGATTCCTAAAGTCCAGGAGGCTGTGAACTATGGTTTACAAGTATTGGACAGTGCATTTGAGCAGCTGGATATAAAAGCAGGAAACTCAGACTCTGAAGAAGAAGATGCTAATGAACGGGTGGAACTGATTCTTGAACCGAAGGTAAAGACATTCAGTTCATATATTTATTGTAACACTTGCTGTGTTTTGGGTACTTTATTTGGGCACGGAATTAGTAAGACATGGACTTGACTTTTAGGAAGAGAGCGTGGCACTTAGCAGTCTTGTATTGACTCTGTTGGGAAGACTTGCTTTACCTGAACATTGGTACAAGGCAGCATGCCAGGGTAGGGGAGTACAAAGGTGCAGGGCATGGTTCCTACTCTCACAGTGCTTATTACAATATTACCAGCTGGTGGGAGAGAGGAGACATTTATATGAGTCCCCATCATAAGTGCTCTGAGAGAGAACTGACTTCTAGCTGGGGAAATGAGGGTACAGATCAGACTTGAATTGTGTTTTGAAGTATGAGGAGGCTCATAGGAGGGAGAGATTGTTGGGAAGCTGAAGTTCTGTAGCTTGCGCTAAGGGAGACTGCAGAAGTGTTGAAAGAATTAAAAAAAAAAGTATTGAAAGACATTGGGTTGCTTTCAGGTTTTGGCTAGGATGAGTAAAGCCGTTATGAGCATTCGTGAATAGACCGTTAGCCTTGAAAGTAGTTATGGCTTTACTACTACTTTCTCTCAGGTTTGTGGAGGGGACATTTGGGGCAGCACAGCCACGCAGAAGTAAACACAAAAGGTTGCTGTATTGCTTTTGAGAGAGAGTCCTTGTGACACACAAGTGCTTTATGAATTGAAACATGCCACAGGGGCGCCTGGGTGGCTCAGTCAGTGAAGCATCTGCCTCCGCTCAGGTCATGATCCCAGGGTCCTGGGATCGAGTCCTGCATCGGGATCCCTGCTCCGTGGGGAGCCTGCTTCTCCCTCTGCCTCTGCTTGCGGCTCCCCCTGCTTGTGCTCTCTCTCTCTCTGTTGGACAAATAAATAAATAAAATCTTAAAAAAAAAAATAAAACATGCCACAGAGCCAGGCTCTTCTGGTCATTTGTTTCACTGCTTGCTTCTCTTCCAGTTCAGGCTTCCGGTGTTGTACCATGTTGGGGCTGTTCCTTTTGCGCTGGTACACTCACTAGCTTGCCTTCCCGCTGTAGGGATTTAGCAGTCAGCCGTGGACCCTGGGCAAGGGTATTGCCTGAGCCACACTTGTTAGTTCCAGGTCCCACACCACTTTCTCTTCTACTAGAGGACGTGGGAAGGCCTTCCAAGTCACAGTTAGCCCAATTAGTACTTTCTTTTGTTTGTACTGAAATCAGTTGCTGTTGTATCTTTTTTTAAGTTTTATTTATTTATTTTTTAAAGATTTTATTTATTTGACAGAGAGATAGAGCACAAGTAGGCAGAGCAGCAGACAGAGGGAGGAGGGAGAAGCAGGCTTCCCGCTGAGCAGGGAGCCTGACGTGGGGCTCGATCCCAGGACGCTGGGATCATGACCTGAGCCGAAGGCAGACACGTAACCGACTGAGCCACCCAGGTGCCCCTGAGTTTTGTTTATTTATATAATCTCCACGCCCAGCGTGGGGCTCAGACTTACTACTTTGAGATCAGGAGTCGCACACTCTACCGACTGAGCCCCCCAGATGCCCCAGTTGCTGTGGTGTCTTTAACCTTTACATTAACCTTCCCAAATTCTCTGTTGTTGTGTTAAGCATCAGAATTGTTTTCTCCTGCACCTCCAACGCCTAATACAGAAGAGAGATGATGGCCAAATGCCCTACTTTGTAAAGGACAAATCAGTTTTTCTGTGGAGATGGGAGGTTGTCCTGGTTGGAGTGCTTTCTTGAACTTAAATTTTTAATACATGTGTGTTGGGTGGGACTTAGAAGTAGAGGATAGGAATGGAAGGATGTCCAACAGGTAGGCTCTTATGTACTGTGTCCTTCATTTCATTCTGTTGTTTTATTTTACCAATTTCATTTTTCTAAATTATACAGTGGGTGCTGCTGTGGGATATTATTCTTTTCTTCTTTGGGTCATTTTTTTTCTCCGAGACAGGTTCTCATCAGTCTTTTGGATGTGCCTTTAGTTCATTATGTTGACTGTAGATACTTGCAGAGTTGCCGTCTGTTTCTTCTCATGTAGCCCATGCTTTGGGTGCTCTCTCCAGCCTTCTCTTTGCTCCAATGCGGTGTGTGAAGGAATCCTTCTGTTGGTCCCCACCTGCTCCCACTCCCAAACCTGGACATACCCACCTGCCTCCCACAGTCCTGTAAAAGCATTTATTTCCTCAGTGTGCTTCTTTCCAAATTTAGGACTATTATTGATGATTCTCAAGATTGATTGGTTGAGTGGTTGATTTTCGCTCACCAGGGCTGCATTTTAGTGGAGGAAGGCAGGGCTAGGACTCATCAAAGCTGGCCAGAACTTTCCGTTTCTTTCCTTGGTCCTCCTTTTGAACATGTTACTATGAAGTTATGACCCTTATTGGATTGCTCCTGGTAAACTTTGTGCATGCCTTTGCTATTTTGAGTATTAACTAGGCACTTGAGAAGGGAGATTCTTTGTGAGTTAGCTTTTCTTTGCTATTTTTTACCTAAGGATTTGACTTTTTAAAAAGTCAGTGATTTTTTTTTTTTTTTTTTGGACTTTGAATCCTGCTGTGTTTCTTATTCTTCACTCTAATTATGTAACTTGTTTGGGACAGTCAGATGGAACAAGATGTCAAGTGGGAAACTTATTTTTCAATCTGATTATTTAATGGCGATTATCTTTCATTCTTTACAGGATCTATACATTGATCGTCCTTTACCTTATTTAATTGGGTCAAAGCTCTTCATGGAGCAGGAAGATGTAGGTCTCGGAGAGCTGTCTAGTGAAGGTATTCTTTTGCGCCAAATATTTTTGTTACTTTTAGGTTTATATCTTTTTACTCTAAAATAATTTCAAGCTTTACCTTAATGTTACCAGAATAGTACAAAGAACTCCTCTGTACCCTTCACTCAGGTTTACCAGTTGTTAACATTCCATCACATTTGTTTGATTTTTCTCTCTCTCTATATACATAATACTTTTTTTCTGAATCTGTTTGTGAGAGGCAAACATCATGTCTTGTTACTCCAAAATGTTTCTCTGTGTATTTTCTAAAATCAAGGACAGTCTCATATGTAGCCACAGTATATTATCAAAGTCAAAAAAAATTTTCCTGGACATAATTCTATTAGCTAATCCTCAGTCGTATTTCAAATTTTGCCAGTTGTCCCAGTTACGTCCTTTACAGGCTCTTTTCCCTCTGGTCTAGGCCCCAGTCTGGGATTACTCACTGCATTTACTTGTCAAATCTCTGGTCTTCTTTTAATCTGATATAATTTCTCAGCCTTTCTTTGCTCTTTATTTTTTTAAGATTTTATTTATTTATTTGACACAGAGAGAGAGAGCACAAGCAGGAGGAGAGGGAGAGGGAGAGGGAGAGGGAGAAGCAGGCCTCCCACGGAGCAGGGAGCCCGATGCGGGGCTCGATCCCAGGACCCTGGGATCATGAACTGAGCTGAAGGCAGACGCTTAACCAACTGAGCCAGCCAGGCGCCCCCTTTCTTTGCTTTTTATAGCTTTGACATTTTTGAAGAGTACAGGCCAGTTTTTTTCCTTGGTAATTACCTTTTTGTAGTTAATAAGTACCTCATGGGGAGATCCTTTAAGGCTATGTAAATGTTTTATTCTTCACTATAGTGAAGATACTTTTATTTCCAGTTAATATGTGTAGATACTTTTATCAAGATCTCTGTAATGCTGATGTATGGTGGTTTGTGATTTTGCGAAGGAACTAAGGATGTTTTATGACGAATATTGGCGATAACGCTTTTTCTTTCTTCTAACCAGAGGGGTCAGTGGGCAGTGATCGTGGCAGTATTGCAGACAGTGAAGAGAACGAGGAAGAGGTAAGGGCTGCTTGGTGTCTCTAGGTCATGGTGGGCAGGAACCTCAGGGTGTGTTTAGCAGGCTAAATAAATATTTGTTAATTAGCAGTCTCTTTTCACAAATTTTTAACAGTGATAGTAGCCATAACCTGAGGTTTTTCCCTTACGATTGAGTTTTTTCTGTCTTGTGTATAAAAGCAAGGAAAACGATTTTAATCTCTTTGACCATTCCCCTCCCTCCCACCTCCCCACTGGGCCCTCCTCCTACCAGTATATTTTGAGGGGGCAGCTCAAATATTTTGGTAGAATCTGACTGCAGTGCAGTCTTTGAATAAGTTCTATTTTGGAATAATTTTAGGGGAAAAGTCCATATTTAAAACTTGTTTATACTATAAAACCTAGACCAGAAGAATGCTCGAAGCATTCACTTACATTTTCACTTTGCTGATGGCTCTAGTATCTTCATATCTACACAGCGTGATTTGACTCCCTGCTCTCGGGCCTTGGGGTCTGTGGACCTTGACCATGGTTGTATCTGGGGTTGTTCCTTGAGACAAGTATTTGTTACTAATGTGTGAAGGGTAGTTCTTGAGTGTGGATCCCTAAAAGGAGACAATATTGTATGCTCCTCTCTTCTCTTCCTCGCCTCTTTCCACAGTCCTCCTCCCCTGCCCTCCTTCCGCTGGCCCTCCAGACAAAGCACCTAACAGTAGGAAATAAGCTTTTCCTAAATAATCTCGCCATAACTGATGGTCATTAGCTGAATCCTGTGCTTTTAGCATTTGATGCAACTCTTCACCTAATTGCTGGTGGGAAACACTGATGTTCCCCCTCTTGGGCCTGATTTGGTAATTACCCTAGTTAGAGGGAATATAGAGAGTGGAGTCCAAAATGTAAAATTACACAAACCAACTTGTGATAATTTAATGAATTAAATGTGCAACTATTACTTTAAATTCAGAGGTTAGCAATGATAGTGCAGATAGGTATGAGCAAATTATTAGAGATGTTTAAATTAGCCACAAAAATTACGTGTTAGCCTGAACAACTCTTGGTGATACTGCCAACTCTCTATCTGCACCTTGATACTCCAGGTGACCAGTAAGCAGTACAAAGAGACAGAGTGTAGATGTGCCCCAGAGACTTAGACCTGAAATCATTTCTGTGCTTGTGAGTAAATTCTGTATTAACAACAAAGCTTTTTTTTTTCCCCTAAAGGAGTCAGATGAAGATTTTGCTAATCATAGTGACAATGATCAAAATCGGGTGAGTCTCATGTACTAAAGTGACTTTGCTTTTAAATTTTAACCGAAGCATAGCATGTATACTAAATACATGCTGAATTTACTTTTTTGAGGAGAGCTGGGTGGGGGGATGGGTGAAATAGGTGAAGGGGATTGCACTGAGTAACATAAGGAATTGTTGAATCACTGTATTGTACACCTGAAACTAATGTAACACTGTATGTTAACTATACTGGAATTAAAACAATAAAAAATGGGGTGCCTGGGTGGCTCAGTTGTTAAGCGTCTGCCTTCGGCTCAGGTCATGATCCCAGGGTCCTGGGATGGAGCCCCGCATCGGGCTCCCTGCTCCGCGGGAAGCCTGCTTCTCCCTCTCCCACTCCCCCTGCTTGTGTTCCCTCTCTCGCTGTGTGTCTCTCTCTGTCAAATAAAATCTTAAAAAAAAAAAAACAAACAATAAAAAATTACTTAGAGTGACTTACGGGAGAGTAAGGATTTAGTCCTTATTTTTACAGCTAATTTTCCTTCAAGCATTTCATGTTTTTAAGTTAACTACTGCCTTGGGTTTTTTTTTTTTATTGTTGTTGGTTTTTTGTTTTTCTTTTTTCAGTTTTGCTTTATATTCTCATTTTTCTTAGAAAACAAAGAAGTGAAAAAAAAATTGGGAAACATAGCCTCTAAAAGAAGGCCCAGTTACTCAAGCTGAACTATTTCACATGAATCCCCCTCCCCTATTTTAAAATTTGAGATAAGATAGCAGTAAAGTTAAGGAACACGCAAAAGGTACAAATCTAATCCTACTGTGTTAGCATAGCAATCTTAATTTTTGTGTGCCCTTCTAAGGATGTATTGTTTTCCTAATATGCATCGTATAGGGGTCCTGGGTGGCTCAGTCGTTAAGCGTCTGCCTTCGGCTCAGGTCATGATCCCAGCATCCTGGGATCGAGTCCCGCATCTGGCTCCCTGCTCCGCGGGAAGCCTTCTTCTCCCTCTCCCACTCCCCCTGCTTGTGTTCCCTCTCTTGCTGTGTCTCTCTCCGTCAAATAAGTAAATAAAATCTTTAAAAAAAAAATGCATCATAAATTTTCTGCTATTTTATGTTAACGTTATTTTCTTACATTTTAAATCATTCGTAATTTTGTTTTGTGAACTCTTTTAAGTATAGTAATACAGTGATACTTTTCATAGTTTCTAAATTTATATGGGACATAGTTTATTTCCAGGATTTTATTTTTGAGATAATGCTGCATTCAGTATTCCCATACACAGAAATCCTTTGCTCATGTGAATGGTTTCCTTAGGAATGAAATGGTGTAGAATTAGAGTAAAGCCTCTTGATATTATTGTCTCATTGCTGATCATGCATAATGACTTTCTTATAATCTCATCAGCCCTGGGATCATGATTTTTGCTACCATAATAAACGTACAGTGGTATATTGAGATATCCCAATTTGCATTTCAGTTTCCTAGTTGGGAAATATTTTTTCACAAAAATTTTCAACTACCAAATAAAGGATTTCATACCTGTTGGTTGGCACTTGTATTTTCCCAGTTGTATTCACAGAGGCCATTTAAGAATTGGTCTTTAGAGGATATTTATTTTTCTATGGCACTTATTATTGAGATTGATAAATTCAGACTTAAAAAATACAGTATAGTGATTAAAAGCATTGGCCTAACCATTTACTTGTATTGTTAAAGATAGACTGGTTTTGTGCGCCCCAGTGAGCCTCAGGGTCCTAAGGATTAAAGTAGTTAATAAAGTGCTTTTAGAGGGATGGGGTGGCTGGGTGATGGACACTGGGGAGGGTATGTGCTATGGTGAGCGCTGTGAATTGTGTAAGACCAATGAATCACAGACCTGTACCCCTGAAACAAATAATACCTTGTATGTTAATAAAAAAAAATAAAGTGCTTTTAGCATAGTACCTCGCACAGTTTATACAAATCATACCTACCAGTGGCTGCTTTTATAAAAATTAGAACTTCACAGGTAAAGCTTAGTTTGAGCCCTCCAGTCCATATTATCCCACACTCTTTCAAAGGTAACTGGTGTTGTGATCTGGGGGGTGTAATAAGCGCTTTTCTTTGCTTTTTCAAATATATCTGTGTCCTTAGAAACAAGGTAGGTGTTTGGGTGTGGGGGCAGGGTATCATGCTTGGGTTTCTCATTCAGTGTTTGTTTCACTTGATGCCTTGGATGCTTCTGCAGTTGTTAACGGCTTATTCCTTTTAGTTATTAGTATTTTTATCAAGATGAGACGATGCTTATTTAGCTTATCATTTCTCCAGTGGTGGACATTTTACGTATTTCAGTGTTTGCTATTCTGCGTGTAGTATCTGCGCTGAAAATAAATCTTGCGTTGTTTGTTCCAGCACATTGATTGCTTTGAGACTTTCACGGCATCGTCATCCTCCTCCCCCTTGTTTGACAGGTGGTCACCGTTTTGCCTGTAGGCTAAGTGGCAGTAGTTTCTCTCTTTCAGCTTGTTGACCTTATCTCCTAGTTCTAACCTCTAGTTTATACTCCTAGCACACTGCACAAATGAGTGATGAAGAAGAGGATGATGATGGCTGTGACATTTTCGCAGACTCTGAGAAGGAGGAGGAAGATATTGAGGACATTGAAGAAAATGCTAGACCTGTAAGAAAGACTACAGTTAACTCTCTTGACAAGGTTTTAGAAATGGCACCAAGGACTCATTAGTTCTATTGTCATTTATTTTGTAACCGTCTCATTTTGCATTATATTTGTACATTTACACTTTTGAAAGTAATGGTTGAGTGTCACTAGTTGCCTTACGAGGACCACTTTTTCTTCCAATTGTTACAGTTTTACAAGTCAGATCATTCAGGTCTGTTCAGTTCCCTAATACTCCTCTCCTTTTCTCACCCTCATCTGGCTCTTCCAGGATTAAAGTGAAATATTTAAACAAAATTAAGCAAATAAGGAGCATCTTCTTCTGAAGGGAGTCCTGTTTCTCAAGTGATCTGTTTAGGGTGCATATGTTTAAATTCATTTAGTTAAATTTTTCATCAGTTCGATTCCTTTGCCTTTGTTTACATAATTTTGTTAGGTGTCCAAAGTAAACTACACTAGTTCGCGTGTTGCCAAAAAAAGTGATACTTTTGATCTTTTTTGCCTGTAGAAAAAAAGTAGGCCTACATCATTTGCCGATGAGCTGGCAGCTCGAATCAGAGGGGAGGCTACAAGCCAGGTGGAAGAGGGGCGAACAGGTACGTCATTAAGATGAGTTAACAGGGTTGAGGGGGGAGTGCAGGTCCCTCTGCTGGGCTTCACTGACAGCATATTTCCCAGTGTAATTTTACTGAGGCATGAGAGGCTTATTCTTTTTTTGGTTTATAGACTCTCTGATAACTACATTGTGGAACCCCCCAAGAAAAATGCATATATACATATATCTGTATCACATTTTATTTGCAGTTTCAGGGGATTAATAGATGCCCCAGAGAATCACAGGCCCCAGATTAGAAATCTCTCACTTATATTTACTTCTGTATTTTGCCTAAATACAAATGTACTATATAGTATATTCTAGTGACTGAACAGGATGGAATGATGTCAGAATAGTTCTTTCGGCTTGAGTGAGGTACTGACTGAAGTTTTAAGGTAGAGCTGAGACACAGAGTTGAATGTCTTGCTCTTAGCTTCAGAGCCCCAGGGATGACAAAAAGCATAGGGGCCCTGGGTGGCTCAGTCAGTTAAGCATCTGACTTTGGCTCAGGTCATGATCCCAGGGTCCTGGGATCGAGCCCCTCATCGGGCTCCTTGCTCTGCAGGGAGCCTGTTTCTCCCTCTCCTCCCCGCTTGTACTCTCTCACTGTCTCTCCTTCTCTCTCGCAAATAAAATCTTCAAAAAAATATTAAGGGTAGACTCTGTATGGTTAAAACTGTGAAATACTCTCCAAGCCTTGTCCCCAGGAGAAGCAAAACCTCAGAAGACATTGAAGGAGAAGAAGGAAAGGAAAACTCCCTCAGATGGTAAGCCTTTCCCCTCCATTCTGTTACTTTAGGAGGCTCTTGATTCAGGAATATCACTTTCGTTAATTCATAGAATTCTACTTTAAATGCCGACAAATGGGATCTCTCTGTATTCTCATTTCCAAAGCTTTTAAAAGTATGCTTTGGGATGCTGGGAGGAGAGTTGGGTGTGCAGTCAGAATGCTGTAAAGATTTGAATTACTAACTTTTATAACAATCTTTAGCTGTCTTTCTAGAATTCTCTGAAGATATAGAAACTAGGGATATCTAGCATTTGTTTTCAATAAAGAATGTATCAGAGCCTTTCATATTTAACAGTAACATCCATCACATTCCTACTTGTAAGTGTGTCAATCTACAGACCTTTGTTCAGTCTGCCCTCCTTCTCCCAAATTTTTGGTGGGATAGGTCTTAAAGGCAATTGAACCAGGTACTTGCTTCCAGAGAAACATCTAGATGAAAGGGATCACCTACAGAATTCACCTTGCTTCAGACATTCACAGAGTTAAGGGTGGGAACCCAGAGAGCCTTTTAAGGGATTCATTGAACTGTTTAATGAATTTTGTTTGAAATTCCTGGGACTGCTGGCCCTCAAGTACTCCTTGTTACATATGGTTAGATACACTCCATGCCAGTCTTGGAGATGTTGTAAAGGCTAACCCTGGAAATTTGAGTTCCAAACCCATCTTTAAGTCTCCCTCTAAAACATTTCCCTTTCTGCTTGTTAGATGAAGAGGACAATTTATTCGGACCCCCCAAGCTGACCGATGAAGATTTCTCCCCATTTGGCTCTCGAGGTGGCCTGTTCAGTGGGGGGAAGGGACTTTTCGATGATGAGGATGAGGAGGTGAGTCTATGGTAATCCACGAAGATCCCTCTAGTTGTGTCATGGGTCCACAATTAGTAGGGAAAAAATGGCTTCTTAGTGGCAAGTTGCTTTTACTTTCCCATATTTTGGGAGATTTTGAACTAAGGATCACAAAGAGAAAATACTGTATCCTGATGCCCTTTGTTAGGTGGAGAGAGGATGTGAGAGTATTTATAGTGAATAATTTACTTGATCAGGCGGTCGTTTCTTACTTTATCTGTTGTCTTCTTCCATGTTTGTAATTCCTGGATAGGTGTAAACTATTTAAAGGTCTGATTTTGCCATAGTTTTCACTTTGGAACTACATTTCTGGCAGAACAGTAAATATGGATCTTTAAACTTTACAAGGTACTTTTTTTTAGAAATCCTCAAATGCAGCTACATTTTCCTTTGCTTTTTTGAAATTTCGTGTCCTGTACTTTATTGCAACTAGAGTGACCTCTTCACAGAAGCCCCTCAGGATCGGGAAGCTCGAACCTCTATTAATGCAGGTAAGTTTGGATTGAGGCTGACTCTTCTTGTTCGCAAACAGAATTCCAGAACTGCTTACTTCTCAGTAGGGGATGGAACCCCTGTTCCCAAGCCTTGCTTCTTTGTTAGGCAGGAAGCTGTTTTGCTCCCTTGGTCTAGTTAAGAGCAGCTCATTTTCTCTGATTCATGTCTTGGAAAAGACAAATACCATCTGTAAACCCACATCACAGTTTTGTCTCTTTTTTTAAATTTTTTATTTTTTTAAACATTTTTAGTTTACATTTAATTAATTAACATACTTACTGATTTCAGAGGTACAGGCCTGTGATTCATCAGTCTTACATAATACCCAGTGCTCATTACATCACATGCCCTCCTTTGTCTCTTTCTTAATAGAGAATTCATTAAAAGTCAAACAGGAAAAGTACTCTGTAGCCGTGTTGAGGATGTTTTAATTTAATCATGTTTAACTCAAAAAAGCACTTTCAGAATTCTGCATATAAATTGAAGGCCAGTAATTCCATAGTCTGGTGTGAATCAGAATCATCTGTGGAGCACACACGAAAAAGGAAAAAAAAAACTTGACAAATTTTATTCCATTTAGGTATGTGGTAGTTCTTGGGATTTGGGAATTAGTTAATTGAAGTGAGCGGTCTCCTTGGACCACCAGTCATCAGATTTTGGACTTGCTGTGATGCTGGCTGGCTTGGTGTCCTGCCATTCCTGCACTGTATTTCTTGGCATCAGTGGATGCTACTTTCCCTCCTTACTGTTACTGTCTTCATTTTTGTTGTTGGTATTTCACATTTTTTGCTGTTTGCTTCTACTTGTTTGTTCTCCAGGTGGAATGCGTAGAGCCACAACTGTTGAGGAGCCCTGCTGGCTCTGCCTTTTCCTTCCCTTCTGTGCTTTACCCCTTCCTTGGCCTCTCCAGCCCACCCCCCAGTGCTACTGTTTGACTGGACTCAGAGGAATCGTTCATGGAAATCACAGCTTAGATTATATTAGTACCAAGAAAAAAGTACTGAGGGTAGAGAGAAGACCAAGCTAAAGCTAAGGAGTTTTAAAATGGCTCTTTTAGGAAAAAGTAGCTTTAAAAGGTCTCCGATTAGCTATGTATTGTGTTGTACATATTTCAGTAAGGTACATTTAACAAGAAAAGTCATCTTTTCTGAAGTGGTTATTTTTTTCTTTTTCGTTTTTAGTATCTTCATCCTCCAAACCTGGAAAGAAAATCCCAGCGGGAGCTGTTTCTGTATTTTTAGGTATCATGACTTAGGGTTTGTTATTTTAAAAACCAAATAAGTACTGTTTTGTCATTTTTTAAATTGTCATCTAAGTGCCCGCTGAGAGTAGGAGGAGCTCCAGAGGGCAGCGAATGCCTACGGGGAGAGCTCATTGACTGGTGTTAGTTCATACTCTGTTAGAAGTTAGTGGTCTCGGACTTTCTTGTGTTTTAGTGACCGGGTGATTGGCATCGTAGGATGTTCTGTAGCAGTACAGGATGGGGATTACTGGGTCCTGTTAATGTGTTTTGTGGATGGACTGAAACTAAATGTTCTTGATGGGTGGTCCTTTTTTTTTTTTTTTCCTGTAAAGTCAGGAGACCTACCCACACTGGCTCATAGCTGTGGCTGTTCTGTCCCTCCACCCACAGGGGACACTGATGTGTTTGGTGCCACCTCTGTCCCATCACTGAAGGAGCCCCAGAAGCCCAAGGAGCCACAGAAGCCTGAACAGCCCACTCCAGGGAAAAGCCCGTACCCTCCAGCACCTGCTGGCCTCTTTGATGATGAGGATGACGATGACTTTTTTACGGCATCCTGCAGCAAACCTTCCAAAACAGGTACCTGTTCCAGCCTCTTTTTCTGGGAATTGAGCCCAGGAGAGAATGTTGACCTGAAAAGGACATAAAGCTTGTCAAGTTCTCTTTGTCTTCCAGTAACAGGATCCTTCCTCAAGCATTCCCGTCGTAGAGTGTCATCTCGGCTTCCGTAGTCATAGTGCCTTAGAGATCTCTGTTTTCTGAACCCATCTTTCCTGCTTTTGGAAACTAATTACTACGATTATCTGCCCTGTGGAGAGCTAAAATCTGTTCCCCTGTAATACCTGCTAAAGATTTCTGATTGTGATGTTTGGAGTTACCGAGGAAGTTTTAATCACACTTTCTTCTGGCAACGCTTAGTAAATCATATGAGCAGAATGCCACTGTTAGCTGTTCAGTTCCCAGCTTCTCTTCTCTGTGCCAGAAAGCCCACATAGCCTTGGCCTTTCTTATATGGCAGGGTTTTCAGCCCCTTGGCCACTTTGGCACTCTCCTTTCTTCTCCCCTCAAATTTAAGCCCATATGTTCATGAAGTCACTCTTCTTAAATTAGTTGTTCGTTTCTGTGCCGGAGGACTCTCCTGGGACTCTTGTTAGAATGCAGACTGAGATTCCCTGGCGGTTGTGGGGAGGGGCCTGTGACTGTGCATTTCTAACAGCCTCCCTGGTGGTCAGAGATGGCTGGTCTGTGGAAAAACACTTGGTGTTTTAGATAGACTACTAGGTGCACACAATTTCCAGCGACAGGAGAAGAGGACTCTTCGGAAGACTAGATGGACCAGGATTCAGTGAGAAGCTCCTTTTCCAGTGCTAAATGTGAGAAGTAAGGATAGAAGCAGAAACCCAAGGGAAATCATCACCTAGTTATTTTAGAAAGCATGCAAATGGACGCATAAAGCACTCAGATCTAGGCCAACTGAAATGACAGCGAATAAAGGTGGTGGTGCCTCTCTTGGCCTGGGAGGCCCCTTGCCTAGTGGGTACTGGTGGGGACTGATTTAGAATCAGATACATTGACAGCTGCTGCTGTCCTGGGTTGCTCACAAGTTGGCGTCCTCCTTTCAGTGACACACACCTCATTCCCCACGGCAGTGCTCATGGTAGTAAAAGGCCAGAAGCTGCCCTGCTCTTCCTCATTAGGGTCAGTTATGGTCTCTTGTTCAGTGGAATTTGGTGAAGTGTTACAAAGGATGAAGTCGATGTATGTTGACTTGAGAAAGATTCTCTAGGTACATTAAGTGAAAAACATAAATCATATAAATATTATTAGAATTATGTTACCATTTATAGCCTTATTTGTGAATCACCCAAGTGAGAATGTCAGTATATCTTTTGGGGGAATTAGATATGTGTGTATTAAACTGTTCCTGAAAGCGGTTTTGTTTGGGTGGGCAGGTGGAGTTATGGGGGAGATCTCAGTATTTGCTTTTCTGTGTCTCTGTAGTTTGACTTCTAATTTTTATTTATTACTTTTTAAAAAAGATTTTTAAGTAATCTCTATACCTAACATGGGGCTTGAACTCACAGCCCTGAGATCAAGAGTCACATACTCTACTGACTGAGCCACCCAGTCACCCCAGTAGTTTTACTTTTTTTTTTTTCTGATTTTGTGTTTTTGTTTTTTTTTTGGTCCAGGTTTCACGTATTCAGCTTTATTTTTTTTTAATTTTTTATTGTTAATCACCATACATTACATCATTAGTTTTTGATGCAGTGTTCCATGATTCATTGTGCATAACACCCAGTGCCCCACGCAGAATGTGCCCTCTTTAATACCCATCACCAGGCTAACCCATCCCCCCACTCCCATCCCCTCTAGAACCCTCAGTTTGTTTTTCAGAGTCCATTGTCTCTCATGGTTCGTCTCCCCCTCTGACTTACTCCCCTTCATTCTTCCCCTCCTGCTATCTTCTTTTTCTTTTTTCTTAACATATGTTGCATTATTTGTTTCAGAAGTACAGATCTGTGATTCAACAGTCTTGCACAATTCACAGCGCTCACCATAGCACATACCCTCCCCAATGTCTATCACCCAGCCACCCCATCCCTCCCACCCCCCACCACTCCAGCAACCCTCAGTTTGTTTCCTGAGATTAAGAATTCCTCATATCAGTGAGGTCATATGATACATGTCTTTCTCTGATTGACTTATTTCAGTCAGTATAACACCCTCCAGTTCCATCCACGTCGTTGCAAATGGCAAGATAGTAGTTTGACTTTTTAAAAGGAGGAGCCAATCCTCACTTCTCAGATTCCTAGGGTGGTTGCTTCTTAAATGATCTTTCTTTCTTTGGTCTCTATTTACCTTTGATGCCAGTCCAAGCTAGTCTAAGCTTAGGACTCTGCTGCTTGGATGAGTGTGTGAGCCAGGTGGTCCTGTGTTTCATTTGAGCTGCTCTTGTGTTCTTTGAAAAATTCTAACTTAATACTGTTTCATAACTAATCAAAAAATAATATTCTTTTTCTATTCCTTGGGGGGGGGAAGAATTTTTTAATGCATGAATTTAGTGGTGGGAGTTTTGAGTTTAGTATCCTAAATTTTCTGCTGTGGTATCTTTTCTAAAGACAAAGTCAAATCCACTGCCAATATCTTTGATGATGAGGAAGGAGATCTGTTCCAAGAAAAAGCAGCTGGTTTGCCAGAAGCCACTGTGAATCAGACGGATGAAAATAAAGCAAGGGCAGAGAAAAAGGTGAGCAGGAAGGAAACTTAACATAGTGAAGTCTTGTTAAGTGTTGATTTGGGGCATCTTGTTAATTTGTCTGGAACCCAGAGGGAAGTGGTGTTTCCTTTCAGGTGTATGGTGAAGAACTTTAATCAAGCAAGGTGAAAGAAGAATACAGTGAACACCCAAATACCTACCACCTAGATGGAGCAGTTGTTGGCTTTTGCCTTGCTTAGTGGTTTTTACCTTCATTGGTGATCTGTTCCTGAACCAGTTATCATGTTAAGGGGTACAAAAGAATGTTTTTCCAGTTCTTTCATTTCTTCTACATTAGCTAACATTCTTCCAAACAGAACCAAAGAGCTTTCTTTTCTCTTTCTTTCCTGCTTTTGAAGTTACCACCATAGGATCATGGATTCTCTGTTCAACCTCTTATAAACCATTAGCACCGTTTTTGTTTGTTTGTTTGTTTTCATTGAAGCTGTATTTAGCCAGCAGGATGCATCTGCGTCGGCACTGGAGCTCTTCTGGCTGCTCTCCCTTTCCCTGGTATCCTGCATAGCTTCAGCCACTCTTTTTCTCTCTCTCTCTTTTTTAAGTTTGTTTACTTATTTAAAGATTATTTTATAGAGAGAGCCTGTTCACACATGAGCATGAGGGGGTGGGGCAGAGGGAGAAGGAGAGAGAGAATCTCAAGTAGACACCCCCTAAGCATGGAGCCTGACACAGGGCTTGATCCCAGGACCCTGAGATCATGACCTGAGCCCAAATCAAGAGCTGGATGCTTAACTGACTGAGCCACCCAGGCTCCCCTAATTATTTATTTAGTAATTTTTATACCTGGTATGGGGCTCGAACTCATGACCCTGAGATCAAGAGTTGCGTGCTCTTCCAATTGAGCCAGCCAGGTGCCCTGATCATCCTCTTTCTAAAGAACCTCTTGTGTGTCCTTTCTATGAAACTCTGACCATGGGCACCTGGGTGGCTCAGTTGTTAAGCGTCTGCCTTCGGCTCAGGTCATGATCCCAGGGTCCTGGGATCGAGTCCCACATGGGGCTCCCTGCTCAGTGGGAAGCCTGCTTCTCCCTCTCCCACTCCCCCTGCTTGTGTTCCCTCTCTCGCTGTCTCTCTGTCAAATAAATAAATAAAATCTTAAAAAACCCTGACCTTCCCACTGCCAGCCACCTATGTCCCAGCATTCAGAACCTGGCAGGCTCCTAGGGGTAGCTCACCTTCCTGTGCTGGCTCCAGGTATACACGTCCCATTTGCGTAGAATACCCTGATCCACCAGATGTGCCCTCTGGCTTAACTTGTTTTTCTCTTCTCATGCGGTTCCCTCTGCCTGGAGTTTCCTTGTTTGTACCATCTCCTGTGTCCAGGCGTTGTCTGTCCTGAGAAATTTACTTTATCGATGAACTATTTCTTTCTTCTTTCCTAACTTATACCAGTTTTTAAATTCTTTCTTAGGATTCTTCTTTTGCATCAATGTTTTGTACACATTTAAGGTCCACGGCATCTTTATTCCCCTGGCACATGGCCTGCTGCCTTATCCTAGCAGAGACTCAGTCTGTTTTCCAAATGAATGTTTGAATAAACCCTTATTTCCAGTTATCTTGGTTGTTAACCCTCAGTTTTTTGTTTTTGTTTTTTCTTCCCAACAAAGATTACCCTTCCTTCCAGCAAAAATCCCAAACTCTTGCAAGAAACAAAAGCTCAGAAAGGTTTATTTTCAGATGAAGAGGACTCTGAGGTAAGGAATTCTCTTTCTTAGTTCTGGGAACTAGTCCTTGGATATGACAAAATATTTCTAAATCAGGGTTTTTCAGTAGAGGTACAAGACCTTTTATTAAATACTTCTTTTTTTGAAATTAATGTTTTGAGAACACATGTGCTTAGAAAGCTGTATGTGTAGTAATATTTTCATGTTGGGTTTGAATCCAGTGCATCTCCTGGGAGAAAAATACTCTCTCAGGATGCTCAGATTTGAGGCTCTTTGTTGATCCACAATGCAGTGAGGTGCTTGTACCAGAACAGAAATCAACACGCTGTTTCCTTTTTCAGCAGTCTCATTGAATAATGGGCTTAGTGCCGTATGGGATGTATTCTGGCATAGCCTTTTATCTTGTGGCCAGTAACGGTTTGTGGGCTGGCGGTGCTTGCAGACAGCCACGGTCCTTGGAGGTTCCTGTCTGGAAGCATCTTTCCAGTGGGACAGCACCTCTCTCAGAAGTGTCACTGCTTTATCTGACTCTCCCAGGCTGAGGTCCTTTCAGAATTGATCTCAGGTTGGGCCTTTAGGGGATCAGAGACCTGTCTGAGAATATAACAGGCAGTCAGAAATCTCCTTCACAGAAAAATATATGGACATGGCAGAAATTTACATGTAATTTCAAGAAATTGTGAACTCTGGATTAAGCTTTTTTGGTTACTTTGCACTAACAGCCAGGATGGACGTACAACTCTTTGGAAGTGGAGTGATTGCCATTGATGTAAATAAAACCCGTGAGGCTTATATTTCATTGACGGCCAGTGTACAGAAGATAGGAATTAACCCAACTCCAGTTAAGCCAAACTCCTGGACACATGAGCACAGCATGGTGGGGCCTCGCACTCTGGTCTCATCCCACGCTCCTGGCTTCCTCATCCTCAAGCACACCCGCACTGACTCCTGCCTTCTGGGAGTGCTCTTCCCAGAATCTGGATGCCTTGCTTCCTTTTTACAGTTTCTTTGAGGCTTCCCCTGACGATCCTTTGCATGACTGCCAGCCCGCTAGCACTCGCCACACTGCACTCCTTGCCTTCTCTTCTGCTCTGTTGTTCCCCACGATATGTGTTGCCATGTGACTTTTCATGTGTACTTGTTCATTATCTGCGTCCCAACTAGAATAAGCTCCGTGAGGGCAGGACGTTTTGTTTCCTCCTCATACCTCTAACACTTAGGCTAGTGCTTGGCACTTAATAAGCCAATAACAGTTGTTGACTACATGAAAAAAAAATGTGATCAATTTCAGTGACTTAAAAGGTGTTTCAGTACCATGTTACTGTGAAATAAATCACTCCCGAACTTAGTGGCTTCAAACACCAGTAAGTTTTATTATCTCTTATGATTCTAGAACTGGACTGGGTTCAGCCAGGCACTTGTCAGTTACGGTCTGTCCTGTGGTTCTAGTCTGAAGGTGGCTGGGCTGAGAATCCTCTCACTCCAGTGTCCGGTAGCTGGATGGAAAGACTCAAATAGCTGGGGCTTTGGGGGCACCCCTCTCCATCTTTTTGCCGTCTCCCAGCATGGCAGCTGCAGGGAAGGTGGGTTCTTGAAGCAGGGCTTCAACGTGAGATTCCCCAGAGAGCTGTGCAGAGGCTATATTGCGTTTGTAACGTAGCCTCGGAAGTCATCATGGTCGAGGTAGTCCCAGAGGCCTGCCAAGATTCCAGGGCAGGGATGCAGACTCTACTTCTTGATGGTGGGAGTGTATAAGAATTTGCAGACAGATTTCACAGCCACCACCAAAGGCTTTGTCCTGTGTGCATTGTCCTAGATTGTTTTTATTGGATGCTGTCGGGGTGCTTAGGCAAGGAAAAGTGAAACAAATCTTTCTGTAAGTGAAATCTTGCCAGTGTGTAAAATGCAGAGAGGCATGGGAGCCCGTAGCTCCCTCTATGTGGCCTCTTTACCTCAGCGGACCCCTGGGACTCCATGGGGTCCCGGCGAATCCACTGGGCTGAGAAGCGCTCTTCTCAGTTAATGAATTCATTAGGTCTGTGTTTGAGAGTAGGCACTGATGCCATAATAGGAAGAAATTATCCAGAGAGGTCTCAGTAACTGTGTTCCTGTCCTATTTAATTGTCTGGCCCTTGGCTATTGACATTTCTGTCCTAAGGGAATAGGTGTCCTATTTTTATGTTTCTAGTTCATGCAGTTCAATTTGCATTATAGGCTGACACTCTCGCATTTTTAGTTTCTTCAGAGTCTGCTAGATCTTTTGCAACATCTCTTAGCTACAGTTCAGATAGAATACCAGATGTTTTAAATAAAATCCGAATTCACATTTATTTGGAAGAAATAGTATCATACTTTTATAAGGGGAGAGGAGGAGGGTCTTAGTAAATAAAACAGAGTCATAGATGCAGTAATTTGAGAATCCAGGCTCTACTTCCATTATTCAATCTGTTTAATTCCGATTCTTTGGACAAAAAAAGGAAGTTACTCTTACTTTTTAGCATGATAAGAGATCTATTGGAAAATGTCCACGTGGGAGTTTACAAACCTCAGAGTTCCAGTGAAGCCACCTGGAGTTCCACGTGGGCCTCTTCCTTCTCACACGTGGATGTCCGTGCTGCACCCGCTAGGACAAACTGACGAGTCTTCTCAGCCAGCTTCCCTCTCACAAAGAGACCTAGACTCATGCAGCCATCATGTCATAGTCTTCAATGTTTTATATTTAACTGATACTTTAAAAGCTAATCTGTCATGTTAACCACAAACTTTAATCTTGATCCAACAGGATTTGTTTTCCTCTCAAAATGTGAATAAGTCAAAAGATGCATCTCTCCTGCCTAGCAAACTCCCCACATCGGTCTCACTTTTTGATGACGAAGATGAAGAGGTAAACAGTGTTATTGCAGTGCAAGATAAATAAGTTTTTGATGAGTAGAAAACCATTGCTGATTAGCTTTATAGTCAGAGGTGCATATAGTAGAACAAGGTAATGAGAGGCAGTTAAACTACCTGATGCTTATATAACAAAAATATTTTAGTTTTTTTCTCTGACTTCTTCCTTGACTCCTAGCTGTACAATGGGCAGGATATTAAATTATTGTTATTTTTTTAAAGATTTTATTTATTTGAGAGAGAGAGAAAGAGGGAGCACAAGCGGCAGGAGAGGGAGAAGCAGATTCCTGGCTGAGCAGGAGCCCACTGTGGGGCTCGATATCAGGACCCTGGATCATGACCTGAGCTGAAGGCAGACACTTAACCGACTGAGCCACCCAGGTGCCCCATGGACATTAGATTCTTGACCCAGCTCTTATGGAAGGCTTTGTAGAGGTCATTTTAAAAATCTGCCTTTAAGAAATACATCTCGGAGGATGGATCTTTATTATGCCCAATGACCTATAAGAATGTCTTGGATAAAGTGCAAATAGAAGACAGCCACGTCCTCACCTTGTTTTTCTTTCCTACCCTGGATGAGAGAGCAAAGTGGGGGAAGGAAATAAGAGAGAAGACAAACCAAACCTTTCCTCTTATGCAGTACTGTTCAGTGGCCAAGCTCATGGGCTTTGGCACCAGACCCCTGCATTCACTTGCAAATCAGGGACCTTGGGCAAATAACTTAAACTTCCCAAATCTTACATGGCTTAATAGGATGTAGAGTCATTGTGATAGCTGGAACAACTCATGTACAGCTCTTGGCACTGTGCCTGGCACATAGTAAGTGCATAGGAAATGTTCACTGTTGTCATTAGAATCTCCATCAGATACCAGTTCATTTTTCTCATGGCCTTTCCTACCTTCCCACACTTTGCTTAAAGGCTCCTTTTATCGAAACTTTACATTTCAGGACTATTCACCTGCTGTAGTATATTGTTAAGAGTGTTTTTCTGTCTAACTTGGTTGGGTTCAGGCCCTCTTATGATTTTGTTTCTATTACCTTAATGAAAATAATAGATAACTTTTGGAATGCTTGACTATACACAAATCAAAATATGACATTGAACCTATGAGAATCAGCTCTTTAGTAGGCCAGTGATTTTATTTAGTAAACTATTGCTTATGTTTGTATGTCTCTTTAAAACTAACCAGAAAACACAAGTCATTCCTTCCCTCTGTCCCAGGTGTGTGTATTTTGTAGGTGAGAGAGAGTGGAGAAAGCTCCCAATTTCTCTCTCTTAATTCATTGCTTTGGTTTCTAAGACATAGAAAGGTGTGCAAGTTGTTGGCTGTCACACAGGCTGGACTGCTCTTGCTGATGTGCATGGAGGGCCCACCCACAGCAGGCCTGAGTGGGGCCAGGTTTCCTCTTACTTCTGTGACCTTGGCCTCCCGCTCCCTCCCACGTGTTTTGCTTTTGAGTTCCATGTGGTCTGTTTCCCTTCTGTGGAGGGAGAATACAGTTAGAGAAGATTATAGACTATTGTCTTAGGGTTCTACGTAAGAGAAGTGGAATTTACCGACATTTTGTGATTTTTTTTTCCCCTTAAGGTATTGTATATATTCTGTACTTGACCAGAGACTTATTCTTTAACAATTTGACGTGGAAGATTGTCTTATTTTTCATTTTATGCATATGAAGTTGTCATACTCTTCTGCCATTTGTTTTTCTAGGATAATCTTTTTGGTGCAACAGCTGCTAAGAAGCAGTCATTATCTCTTCTAACTCAGAGCCAAGAAAAAGCAAAACCATCTGAGCCCTCCAGAAAGAAAGCATCTACCTTGTTCAGCAGTGATGAGGAGGTGGGTTGAAAATTTCTCCTGGAGAAGAGCAAGAGGTTGTTTGATGGGATTTAAGAGTTACAACTATTCTAAACATTTTCTTTTTTCTACCTAATGTTTTATATCTGGTGAAATTTAGTCCCCGAAGACTATGTTCACAAAACTTTTTTTTTTTTTTCTGGAAGAAGGATATTTAGTATAGTATATTAACTTAAAGATTAATGTTTTCAGAACGGTTGAGAATAAAATAAGTATGCCTCTCAAATTATAATATATGCCAATTCAAATGAGTTAGGACTATATTGTTAAATGATTATTAATAGTTTCATTAGTCAAGAACTGTAGCTAGACATGGTAGAAATATCCTGTGCAAGTTTAACTCCTTTTTTTTGAGTCTTAACATAAATATTTTTATTTGCTATCTAGATGCAAATTAGCAGAACTAATAGTGAATATGGTTTAGCTGCTGATCTAATTGTACAGAAAAAGACCTTAAATATGATGACATTACAAACCCTGAGCATTAAAATCTTCCTGCTTTAAAATAATTGTTTTTCTTTATTTTAACATTGTAGGCAAGTTATGAAGGCATGATGTGGATGGAGATATTGTAGACATATTAATGTTTTTTTATTGGAAACAACTTACAATGATACAACATAATTTGCTTTTTATATTCAAACGTTTGAATTTTTGATGGATTTTCCATTTTTTTTCTTTCTAACATTGTTAGTGGTAGTTCTCCCTTGCCTACAATGTTAAAATAAAGAAAAACAGTTATTTTAATGCAGGAATAATATTTAGGGAAATTTACTTCCAGGTTCCTTAGTCTGAATTACCACAGGATTTTAATATATATTTTATATTTTAAGGACCAGTGGAATATTACTGATTCACAGACGAACTCAGCATCTGAAAATAGGTCTAAACTTAGGGACTCTGGCGCCACTCAGGAGCAGGAGGCCAAGGCTGTGCAAAAGACCAGTCTCTTTGAGGAGGATGATGAAGATGATCTGTTTGCTGTTGCTAAAGACAGGTGAGACAGTCATTGTGAAAAATCACTTAACCAGTGTCTGTGGTAATAAGTAAAGGTATTTGATTCGTAAGATGTCAGTTACTTGGGGTGACGTGATAATCATTCCTTACTTAGTAGTCATATGAGGGAGAACGTCTTTGATTTTCACTTGTAAGATATTTCTTCCCCCCAATGCTGGGAAATGTTTTTCTTCGTGGATTTATCTAATTTCTTCTACTTATATTTTTCTTTGCTAGGGATTTTTAAGTGCAGTTTGTTACCTTTTTGGTTTTTCTTCTGGGATACCCTATAGAACATAAAGTTTGGTTTGAGTTATTTAGGTTTCTCATTTGTATGGAAATCTTCTCAGCGTTGAGAAACATCCTATTAGGAGGATGGTTCTGTGCAGGGCTGTGCTGTCACACCAGTGGCTGGTAACTTTTAGCTGATCTGGGTGCTTCCCCACATGAATACTTGGACTAAAGCCCATAGGGTATTTTGTAGACTGCACATTGGCCGTGTTGGTGGTGTAACATGCTGCTTCTACAGACAGTAGCCAAGTGTAGGAGAGCACATGGAAGAACAATGCTGGTGGCAATGTAAAATGGTGCCACTTTGGAAAACAGGCCAGTAGTTCCTTAAAAAGTTAAACATATGGAGTTACCATATGACTTAATTTTACTCTTAGGTAGATGCTCAAGAGAAATGAAAATATGTCCACCCAAAAACTTGTATATGAATGTTCATCGTAGCATTATTCATAGTAGCCAAAGAGTGGAAACAAACCAAACGTCCTGTCAACCGAAGACAGGATAAAGAAAATGTGTTATATCCATACAATGGACTATTAACTCAGCAATAAGAAGGAATAAAATAAAATACTGGTACATGCTACCACATGGATGAACCTTAAATATTGTGTTAACTGAAAGCAGCCAGTTACAGAGGATCACATGTATCGTTCCATTTGTATATAATAATCCAGAAGAGAGAAATCTATAGAGACAGAAAGTAAATTAGTGTTTCCCTGGGCTGAGGGGCAAGGAGAATTGGGAGTGACCTTTAACAGTCCTGGGGTTTCATTCTGGGTTGATGGAAATATTGTGAAGTTACATTGTGGTGATAGTTAAACAACTCTATACTGAAAACCAGTGAATTGCATAATATATTGTAAAAGGGTAAATTTTATGGTATGTAAATTATATCTCAAGACCATTCTAAAAAAAGAAGAGCTGTGACTCTAACAAAGTTGTGAAATACTGCCTTGTGAGCAGGGCACTCACATGTCCCGGCTTGCCTGGACAGCCCTGGTTTGTGCCTGTCATTACAGCATGACTGTAATTAATTTCCCTGTCACTCTCAGAAACATGCCTTTAATTTGACCTTTTGCTTGATTGTATAGCCAAAAGAAGACCCAGAGAGTGTCACTCCTCTTTGAAGACGATGCTGATAGTGGAAGCTCTCTCTTTGGCTCTCCTCCTGCATCTATTCCTCCTACAACAACGGTATTCTTAACCTCCTAGGTCCAGGAAGTATCCTTGAGCTGCTGTTACATGAATAGTGATACTTCCCTGAATCAGCTCCTAAAACCTGACCTTGGAGGCTGAGTCCAGTGGGAAAACCCATTTGCCTAGTTCTAGAAAGAGATCTTCTAGTTCGTGGTATTTTACAGATGAAGCACAAGTGCAAAGCGTGGAGTGAGGGGTTCCTTTCAGGGGTAGGTCTCTGGAGCCTCAGGGAGAGTGTTGCTGGGGTTACCAGGCTCAGCTGTAGCCACATGGAACCGTGCCAACATTAGACCACGCCAGTAAAGCACACATTGTTCCTTTTAGGAGCACGTTTCAAGTACTAACACTTTGGTCCTGGTTTATGTTAATAGCCAGACAGTAAAAGGGAAGGAAATTCTGGCACATGCTACAACATGGATGGACCTTGAAGACTTCACATTGAGTGAAATGAGGCAGTATAGGAGTCCAATTACATGAGGTACCTGGAGGATTTAACTTCGTAGAAACTGAAAGTAGAATCATGGTTGCCGGGGGCTGGGGGGAGAGGGAATGGGGGGTCTTAATGAGTACAGAGTTTCAGTTTTGCAAGATGGAAAAATTCTGGAGATTGGTTGCATAACAATGTGAATATTCGTAACACTACTGAACTGTATACACAGTTCAGATAAATCTTATGGTTTTTAGAATAAATTTCTTTTAAAAATTAAAGGACGTGATAAGAAAAGGTCCATCGTGGCTATCTGGTGTAAATGATTCCAGTGATTACATCTAAGTGACGTCACTACCACAATCACCTAAGCTAAAAAATCTAGCCAATCTTGATGATAGTTATATCAAAAAGGAGTATTAAAGAATGATAGGAAGGTGGGATTATGATAATATTTGTCCAGGGAACCCAGGCTTCTTGGACTCCTGCTCTGGCCTGTCATTCATCCCTCCCCAACACCTTCCCTTAGTTGAGTATATGTGAGCATGTGCACAGAAAACAAAGTGAGGCCAAGCACTATTTTACTGCCATCTGGCAGTTGCTAACAGCTCCAAAGGGAAAGGTATAACTTTTTAGGCTAGACCCCATGGAGACATCCTTTATCTGACTTGGGTTAGCCTGGAAGGCCAAGAATCAAGCCAACTCCCAGCCTGCTGTCAGGCCTTCAGCTCCCAACTTCAGGCCATTCGAATTTGGCATGTGACAGAGGCAAAAAGACATGCAAGACATAGAAGAAGGGATGAGACCCTGGGACTCCTCCCATGTGGGATCAGCCACCATGGCACCTCCTCCACTCATGCTTGATGCAGAAGACCCTCCTCCTCCCATCATGGTGATGGGGGACCACGTCCCTGATACCGTCCCAGGTACGGGGAAGGAGAGAGATGGCCAGAGAGGAGCCTGGAGCTTCCTGTTTTCTAGAGGCTGATTGTTGATTCTTCCATACCTCCTAAATATTTTTTGTTTAAAGTTTATTTTAAATTATGCAGTAATATGTGGATGCCTTCTTTAAAAAGTTTTAGAATGTGCATAGAGAATACAAAGCCCTAACGCTCCTCCCAGAGTAATCATTGGTAACAGTGTGTTACCAGCCCTTTCAGGCCTGTTTCCAGGCGCCCCATGTCTGTTTTATTTAAATGAGAGCATGTTATAGATATATTTTTATGTATCTTTTTTCTTGTCCTGCAGCATGTTTTTCATTTCCATAAGCTTCAGTCGTTCTTTTTCACCACTCTCGTTCCAGGACACGTGTAACTGACTTTGCCTTAGATGGAATAATCATCACTGTTTCCTGCTAGTTTATTAGGGATGTTTCTTCCCATCCCTACTGCCTTGTCATCTTTAGCCTTGACTTGAGATAATGGATTATATCTTGCCTCTCCACGAATGCTCCTTCCTTTCATCTCTCCTTGCTGTTGTCCTTGTTCTGTTTCTAGCAGCCCGGTCTCGTCTTGTCCTTGTCACAAATGCTTTAGCTGGGCCTCCCATGCCATCTGTAATCTTGTTTGAGGTGCACTCCTCTTTTCCACCCTCACTCACCTTGTGCTCGAGGTGACTCATCCTGTCCCACAGTACTCCAGAGGACCTTGTTGTCTCCCTGACCTGGAAATAGTCATATTTTCAGACATAAGACAAATGTTAACTTGTCCTGTGACAGCTTCCCAGACCAGGCACATGTCAGTTGATGATCTAGGGACTTTTTTCCCACCACATTCCCATTAAGTGGGTTTGCACAACTTGTACCAGAAGCTTTCAGCATTGGGCGGAGTGTGCTGCCCTCCCTACTGCTACTTCTGAGGTGCTCCTAATCTCCTTGAATCACCCATCCTTGCATCTCCCTGAAGAAGACATCAGGTGGCTCCGTGGTTAAACGAGTCAGGAGATCTGAGTGGTTTTTCTTTGTAGATTATAAATAATAACTTGGACCCTGGATAAATGAGCAATAATTTAATAAATTTTAAAGGTTTTGGAAATGGAAAACTTCTTTCTACCTGTAGTAATTATGATTGTTAAATGAGACAGAAGATCAAAGATCAACATCTTAAGTAGCTGAACAAACTACACAGAATTTTACCATTTGTGAAATATAAGCACCCTTGGACAACAGTATATAAAAGATATTTTTTGTTTAGAGATCCTAGAATATTTTAAAGTTAGATGTGACTCTGTTAAAAACCTATCAGTGAAATTAATTTCATGATGAAGATGAAGTCAGCTTATCTTTAGGAACATTTACAGCCAAAAGCTTGGGTGGCATTTTTATTGGTTTAAGGAACCATATTTAAGTCTAGTTTCTCACCCTGACTGAGTTGCATCGAAGTTATATGTAGTTCTCAGTGAGATGAGCACATTCCACAAAATTTTTTTCCTTTAATCATTTCAGTATTGCCTTATCTCTTTTGAAACTGTTTTTTTGGGTTTCCAGTCTTTTATTTCAGGTTCAAATGATTATGCATTTTGAGAACCTCTGCCTAACAGTAACCAAACATCTTGCCCTATTTTTACTTCATTCTGTCATAGTTAGTAGGGTTCTTTGATTCCCCAGGTCTGTCTTCCTAACTTGATTTAGGTATTTCTTCAGAGCTTACTTCCTCATACCATCTAGTCTAGTTGGTATGACGGAGTTATAGTTTTTTCTCAAGAATTTTTGATCAATCCTTTGCCCGAAGGATGACAGTAACTGTAGACAAGGCACATAACCTCAGTTTTCTAATCTCTGAAATCCCTGCCTCCCACGTTAGGAACAGGTGGGAGATGGGACAAAGTGCTCGCAAACTTGCGTTGACCACCTTCTTGGTAGAAAGCACCATGACTGGCTGTGGAAATATATGATCCTTTCAGGTGAATGGACAGATACATAATAGCTATTAATGTAAATTAGGAAGCTAGTGAAGTAAAGGCTAGGTAGAGGGATAAATAATCTTATCAATGTAGCAACTGATAACTTACTAAAGAGGGAGAACAGGGAAACCTTTATGGGTGACCTCGAGCTGGGCTGTGTTTGAAAGATGAGGATTTGCTTCTACTGACAGGAGCAAGCATGGAAGTGTGAGAGTTATAGTAGGTATAAGGAGTAGTGAGGACTGATAGGATGCAGATGGATAAAGAGAGAAAATGAAGTGTCAGTTGACTGTCATGTGTAGTATTTGCTTAATGCAAACAGTGCAGGCAGGTGGGAGATGAAGTAGTCTGGTGGGTATTTTATTTTAGCAGGGCAGCTCTGGATGACATCATTGAGCTGAAATGTGAGGAGGGAGGCAGAGAGGAGAGACTAGTAGCTCTCTGGGTGGCAGAGGTCAGGGTCTGGGCGATGGCAGTGTCTGTGAAGTGAACAGAGACATGTGCAGGTGTTGTAGTGGCTGAAGTTGTGAAGCGCTGTGTCTGCGGGTCTGAGGGGGTGGTGTTTATTCCTTCACCCTGTTTGTGCCCCCTTCACTGTCCACTCTCTCTCCCCACGTCTCGCTAACTCGAGGACTGTGGTTTCGCCTTGTTCTAGACATTGCCATGCTTATCAGGCACACTTTTGTTTTTAAGGGTGTCATCTACTCTTCTTTTGGTAGAAAAAAGAGCCTGTCCCCGAGGTACCACCTTTGCTGTTCAGCGATGAAGAAGAGAAGGAGGCACCATTTGGAGTGAAACCTGTGGATAAGAACGTTGAGGGCGCCAAAGCACCGTCAGAACTGGGGAGCACTCGTGTGGTTGAGGAGTCAGAAAAGGTAGACTTTTTTTGTGTGTGTCCATTCTGATACGTTTGTTTCTCATGTCTTGTAAAACACAGACACCCGTACACACACAAATGCACACACCCTTACCTTTTTCTACCTCAGAAAATAAATGTTTCAAATAATTTGTTGACAACTTTGAAAACACTGAGAAGCGTGAAGAAAATCTGATGCCACCATTCAGGGAAATCTTCACCACTGTTCTCGCCGTTCAGGCTCATTTCGAGGCACAGGTGTACACAGTGCTGTGACTTTCTCCTGTTTGCACTCTGTCATCTTGTGTCCATGTCTGTTTTGTCTTTCTCTCACCAGGGTGTTCTCCCCCATCTTAGTTTTCATTTTGGCTTTCTCTCTGCGTGTCTGCTCTTTCTGACGTGTTCCCTTTGTAGTATTCCTGCTGCCCTTGGTTCTCTTCTGCTTCTACCTGTACTTGAATTAAAATGACTGTTTTAAGATCTTAATTTCCTAAAAAGAAAAAAAAAACTTAATTTCCTGTTCTTTTACATTTAGTTGACATTCGCTGTTAATTAGAGAGTAAAGTTTCTCTGTCTTCTAAAACATTTGCTGTCTTCTCCTGGGTGGTCTATCATCTGCAGGAGCCTATAGACAAGGCTGCTGGCTGCAACTGGGGGTCTGTGATGGCCTTCGGTGTCTGTATATTTTTTCTTTTTCTTTCTTTCTTTTTTTTTTTTAAAGATGTATTTATTTGAGAGAGAGAGAGAGAGAGTGAGCGGCAAAGGGAGAGGGAGAAGCAGACTCCCCGCTGAGCAAGGAGCCCGATGCGGGACTTGATCCCAGGACTCCAGGATCATGACCTGAGCCAAAGGCAGACGCTTAACTGCCTGAGCCACCCTGGAGCCCCTACCTTTTCTTTTTTTTCCCTAACTTTTCTTGTTCTCTGCATGTTCAGCTGTTCACATTTAATCTCTTTTTCAGGGCCTAGCTGAAGAATATCACGTACACTTTTCCTGTTGAAGCTCCTTAGAGCTGCAGTGATAACAAATATTTTATTTGTACCTGAGACGTTGTATGACATTCTCTACCTCTGGTTTCTGTGTGGACCTTTCCTGTGTTCCCGTAGCCCCTGAGTTACCCCAGTCAGCCGGAAGTCCAGCTGCTTGTTGCACTGCCGCCTCTGTCTTGAGTATAAGCTCCTTGAGGACCGGGGCCATGTTTCTTTGGCTTACCATGATATCTGTAGTACTTAGCATATTACCTCCCACATAGTAGGCACTTCTAAATTACCTCTTTCTTCAAAGAAGCATATTTTCCACAGTTTGATCACTTTGAAATTAAGATGTACTTCACAGTCAGTGGCATGTTTAATTGGGAGTTGTTTTTTTCTTAGTGGTTCATACAGTAATAGTGGTTCTTAAAATCAGTGGTTTCTTGGGGTGCCTAGGTGGCTCAGTTGGTTAAGTGACTGCTTTCGGCTCAGGTCATGATCCTGGAGTCTCGGGATCGAGTCCCGCATTGGGCTCCCTGCTCAGCGGGGAGTCTGCTTCTCCCTCTGACCCTTCCCCCTCTCATGTGCTTGCTCTCTCTCTCTCTCTCTCTCTCTCTCTCTCTCTCTCATTCTTTCTCTCTCAAATAAATAAAATCTTTTAAAAAAAATCAGTGGTCTCTTACTTGAAATGTGGAACTTGTTGAGCGAATAAATATTTTAGGCTCATTTTAGTGATTCTTTTAATTGCATAATGCAGTGTGAGCCTTCTACAGTTTAAGTGTCTCATTTTGTCAGTAAGTTTTCTCCTTGGGACTGAAGTATTAATTAAATACTAGGAAATACATGATTCATTCCTAGTGATTGGCATTTGTGTTTTCTCTGTGACTAAGTTATTTACAGTTCATGAGCAACCTGTGTGGATCAGGGTTATAATGGATACGTATATCTCTTGGTAGGACGAAGGGACCCATGACTTTAAACTGGTTGGAAAAATTATCTTTGGCTATGAATTACCTGCACAAGAGTCTCTGTTGGAGCAGCCAGTGGAGAGTTGGCCTCAGTATTTCATTACTTGGAAGTAGATGTGATTAGCTATAGCGCCCAGAAACATGCAAATGTCGCCGTTACTGAATTATTGAGGAGTTCGGGGGGTCCCACAGTGGGACTTGTATTTCTACATAGTACTTATTTTTTTGTCATTTCCATTTTCAGGGAGGACCTTTGACTGTATCTACTCAGGAAGCAGTCAAGCATTCTGATTTATTTTCTTCATCAGCCCCTGTGGACAGAGGAACCAAAAGTAGAACCAAAACTGTTCTTAGTTTGTTTGATGAGGAAGAGGATAAAACGGAAGATCAAAACAGCATCCAAGCTCCAAAGAAAGAAGTAGAAAAGGTGAGCAAAAAGCAATCAAGTTATTAGTTTCAGGTTTTTGAAAGGATAAAAGAATCTCATTTTATGGTGTCTGTTCTGTCGTGTGAGTTACTGAAGAATCGAGGGTTCTCGTTTCCCTACATCTCCACCAACACTTGTTGACTTTTCCTATAATAGCTCGGTGTTGGCGAGGATGTGGGGAAACTGGAACCCGCCTGTGCTGCTGTTGGCAATGTACATTAGTGCAGCTGCTTCAGAAGACAATTGGGTAGTTCCTGAAATTGGTAAACATGAGTCACCACCCAGACCTAGCAATTCCACCCTTAGGTATATATCCGAGAGTTAATGAAGACACACATTCACACAAAACGAGAACGTAATGTTCGCAACAGCATTTTTTATTATAGTCAAAAGATGGAAAGAACTAAAGAATCCATCAACTGATGAATGGATAAACAGTATCTATTCAAAATGGAATATTATTTGACAGTAAAAAGAATGAATTACTGATACATGCTACAACATGGATGAACCTTGAAAACATTCTGAAAGAAAGAAGCCAGTGACAAAAGACTACGTATTTTATGATTCCATTTATTTGAAATGTCCTGAATTGGCAGATCCGTAGAGCTAGAAAAAGTGTATCAGTGGTTGCCTAGGTCTGGGGGAGTGAGGTAGATGAGAATGGAGAGGGACTGGGGTTTCTTTTGGGGTGATGGGAGTGTTCTAACTTACACAGTGATGGTGTTTGCATAACTCTGTGAATTTGCTAAAAAATCACTGAATTATACACTAAGTGAATTTTATGGTATGTGAATTTTATCTCAATAGGGATGTTAAAAAAAAAAACCCATAAGGTGGCATATTGCCAGTGCCTTTTTGTAAACCAAACTGAGGAAATGGTCCATGTTGATTTCTATGAAAAGTGCTTTATTATTTTTTTATTACACCAGTAGTATAACCCTGTTTATAAATGAGAGCTACACGTAGTAAATATGAATTATTTGCTATATATTTTTTTTTTTAGTCTTTTACTGTGTGATTCTGTACTGATTTTCATGTTTGTGAAACTTTCAAACTTAGTTATTGTGTTACACTGGGTTTTTATGTGTAATCGGTAATAATAATTAGTTAATTTTTTTTTTAAGATTTTATTTATTTATTTGACAGAGAGAGACATAATGAGAGAAGGAACACAAGCAGGGGGAGTGAGAGAGGGAGAAGCGGGCTTCCTGCCGAGCAAGGAGCCCGATGTGGGGCTCGATCCCAGGACCCCGGGATCATGAACTGAGCCGAAGGCAGACGCTTAATGACTGAGCGACCCAGGCGCCCCAATAATTAGTTAATTTTTAATGTGACACATCTACTCAGTTGTGAATTTTTTTTTTTAATCTGTGGTTGTGATACTAAATGTTATGGGTGAGAGAGTCTACATTGTGTGAATGAAGGTCTCAGTCCTTGGATTCCTTAGGAGATTTACATGAGGATCCTCAGTGGACTTAAAAAACAGCCAAAAGGAAAGCAGCAAACACAAGCAGTTTATTAAAGTGAAAGTATACTCTCAAGGTGGGAGAGTGGGCAGGTTCTACAAGGTGGAACCTGCCCCTCGGTTATTTTGGGATTGGATATTATTGGGTCTCTCTAGGCTGAGAGGTGGGGTGGTTTCTAACGGAGCTGCTTCCAGTCATTTGGGAAGCTCCTCCCACAGCTGGGAAGGGGAAGTTTTTGACCTGGCAAGGTTTGTTACCGGAAAGGTCTTGGCAGCCTTTCTCCTTGGGTTTGGGTTGGGGAGGGGCAGGGACAACGGACACCTTCAATGCAGATGCATTATAATGAGTCTAGGGGTTACCCTGGGGCAGAGATGGAAGAGGAGAGGAGAGCATGTGTTCCACACCTGTGGCTCTTTGGTCTGTCAGCCCCAAAGTCTTGAAGTCACAAGGTCAAGATGCAGGATGTTGTACTTATTTATATCATCCTTGCCTCCAGCTCTTGTCTCTGTCATTCCCCTTCAGGGACTTGGGGCTCTGCCTCCGGGCCTTCCTTCCACTGCTCTGTTATGGTAGCTTCTATCTAACGTTAAAAAAAAATAGGGGAGTTTAGAATGTCAAGTTGGGGGTATTAGAGTGTCAAAACAAGTAATGTGAATAGTAACTTTCAAACATCAGATACTCTACCAAATAAAAAGAACTTGTTTGGAATCTGAAGATAGTGGGATGGAAAGTGGATGGGCATAGGGGAAGGTTGGAATCGGATGCTGACAGATTAGGGATACATACTTGACCACTTGTAGTTCTGGTATTAAGTCAGCTGCGTTCTCTTCTTCTCTTTGTGAATGAGATGGAAGTACTTATTTGATTTTATGTGTTTTCATCCTTAAGATGTTTCTTATTTGGGAATTAAAAGTTCAGACATTTATTACAGGCTGTAAGATTGTATGTGATCTGTATTTACCAATATATTTTCCACTGTTGTTGGTAGTTCCATAGTATTCTGTTCTGTGAATGTGTCCTTCCCTTTTTGATTGGCACTTGGGCTGTGTCTAGTCCTTAGCCATTTGTAAACAGCTGCAGGGGATATCTTTGTAGTTCCATATTTGTAGCTGTGATTTCCTTGGGTAAACCCTTAGAATTTCCCTCTTTTTTCCAGAGCCCTGATCCTGATGCCCGCCCAAAGAGCACAGGTGTCTTTCAGGATGAAGAGCTCCTCTTTAGTCACAAGCTCCAGAAGGACAATGACCCGGATGTTGACCTTTTCTCTGGCACCAAGAAAACCAGGGTCAGTTTCAAAAGGTTCTTCACATGATGATTTTGTTATTGTATTAGATATTATGTCAGCAGCTCACCTAGTTCTCTTTGTAAATGGCATTTGTTTTGAATACTGAATTTGAGTTTTGTCTATTCCAGTTATTAGAGCCAAGTGTTGGGAGCCTGTTTGGGGATGATGAAGATGATGATCTTTTCAGCCCTGCCAAGTCACAGCCTTTGGTACAAGCCTTTTGTTCTCAGTACTGGGGTGTGGGGGAAGGCTTCTGGGAAGGAAATTAACATATAAGAGTAAGAAAAATACAGGGATGCCTGGGTGGCTTAGGTAAGTGTCTGCCTTCGGCTCAGGTCATGATCTCAATGTCCTGGGATCGAGCCCTATGTCAGGCTCCCTGCTCAGTGGGGAGTCTGCTATTCCTCTCCCTCTGCCCCTTCCCCCTTGTGCTCTCTCCTCCTCCAAATAAAAATCATTAAAAAAAGAGTAAGGAAAATACACAGAGAATTGTGGTGCTTACTAGTAAAGGAATGGCAAATAGCGTGCTGATGACAGTGTTTGTGGTGTCTCCATCTTATGTTTCCTAACATTAAAGCATTAACCAACCCAGGCTCTTACTGTATTACAGGTTTGATTTATTCTTACAGATTTTATTTATTTGACAGAGAGAGAGCACAAGCAGGGGGAGTGGCAGAGGGAGAAGCAGGCTGCTCGTTGAGCAGGGAGCCTGACTCGGGGCTTGATTCCGGGACCCTGGGATCATGACCTGAGCTGAAGGCAGATGCTCAACTGACTGAGCCACTTAGGTGCCCCGTTTGATTTTTTTTTTTTAAGATTTTTATTTTTTGAGAGAGCATACAAGAGTACAGGGAGGGAGGGAGGGGCAGAGGCAGAGGGAGAGAGAGAATCTTAAGTAGGCTTAATGCTCAGCAAGGAGCCTGACATGGGGCTTGAACTCACAGTCCTGAGATCTTGACCTGAGCCAAAATCAAGAGTCCGGACACTTAACCAACTAAGCCACCCAGGTGCCCCCAGAATTGTGTGATTTTTAGGTTGTTTATTGAAAGACCATTGCATGCAACATGCTGACCAAATATTTTTGCTTTTCACGTGCAAAGCTTTAAATCTGAGTGTTAACCTGTTTGTGTCATTTTTCTCCACCCCAGTAGATTTTGTTAGATACTCTCTATTTTTTTTTCTTTTCTAAATAAAAAAAAAAATTATTTATTTGAGAGAGAGCATGAGTGGGGGGAGGAGGGGCAAAAGGAGAAGCAGACTCTCCATTGAGTAGGGAGTCCCACACAGGGCTCGATCCTAGGATCCTGAAATCATAACCTGAGCCAAAGGCAGACGCTTAACTGAATGAGCCACGCAGGCATCCCTAGGTACTCTCTACTTCCTGTTTAGCATAGTGAAGACTCCCGAGAAGGTCACAGTCTTTAGAATGCCATCTGAAATGCTGCCTTTGTCTTCAACCCTCATTTGAGAAATGACTCAAAACTCAGAAGCCAGGTTATTTTTATGAGTTATGAGTTTTCTTTAAAATTTTTAAGATACCTGACAGGTGTTTGGTATTCTTTTTCTTTTGAAGATATCAGAAAAGAAGAGAGTAATGAAAAAAGACCACTCTGTATCCTCTTTCAAGAACCAGAAACATCCTGAATCCACTCAGGGTATCAAAGGAAAAAGCACATTGAAACCGGAAACACCTCAGGTTAGAACCGCTTAAGGACTTTAAGCTCTTGTTTACATCCCTGGACAGAGGGACTCCATCACGCAGACCCAAGGGTATTCAGAGTTCTCTTGATTAGGGAGGAAACAGCAAGTAGGACTACCTCTCTTTCTTAACTGTGTGTGTTTTTATATTTAAAAAAAATTTTAAATTTCACAATTTAAACATTTTTTAAAGTAAAGCTCTATACCCAGTATGGGACTTGAACTCACAACCTGGAGATCAAGAATTGCATGCTCTACTACTGACTGAGCCAGCCAGGTGCCCCTCTTGTGGGTTTTTTTTTTTTAAATATGCCTCCCTGCTGCCTCATCTCTTCTCAATCTATAGCCCAGTCCCATGAAGCTATACTTAGGATTACTGTTTTTGGACAACTTTCAAATTCAGTTCCAAGATAGAGTTAATATAGGGTGAAGAATATTTTCCCCATTAGAACCCCCATTTGTCCCTTTGGGTTATGTTGGAGTAAGAATTACATTAGAATTAAATATAAATTATAACAAATTCCTTGGTTCCCACAGTTTCTTGGTTTCCTCTCCTGAGGTCACTGCTGATAGGTCTCTGTCCTCAGCAGTCTTCTCTCTGGAACTCATTCGGGGAGCAGGCCGGAACTGGAGAGTGAGATCCAGTTTTGGCTTACAGCAGTCTCTGGATGTCTCCCTGAGCCTTCAGTGTCCTGAGCTGTGAAAACCAGGCACTAGGGAGTTGTGACTCCAATGACTCACCCCAAGTTTCAGCTTCCCTTGCTTCTAGAACCTCAGTGCATTAGGTTGTGTGTGAATTTCGGTGTGCTCTGTGGTATTTGCTGGGTGGGGTAACCAGCATGGTAATTTTGCCAACTGGTCAGGTTTTGGTGCTCTGATACACTGTGATTCTTAGGAATCTCACCCATGATCTTTGTCTGCCTTTACTCCATCTGTAGTCTGACAGCATTCCACCTACACAACGGATGAGGAGGCATAAGTGAAATAATGTTAGTGAAAGGTTTCAAGGCCCCAGGAGAGTTTTGAATACTTTTCCCATTATAGAATTACAGAAAATGACAGCTTTGCTCCCTCAAATTTAATGGGCATAAGTGTAATCCAAGAGACACTTTTCTATTTCCCCAATGTATTTTTTAACTGAATGTAATTTCACACAGGACTCACCAGGTCCCGCTCCATTTAAAACCAAAGAGCCATCCCCTCGGATCTGGAAAATACAAGTAATTATAACATGTCTGGAATCTTCACTGCCTGCCTTGTGGCATCTATAAACTTTTTGGATATTTACTTTTGTCAGCTACTGCCAGGCATTTTCTTATCTCTTCCCCACCCTCTAGTTGTTGCTTCTTGTGTGCTGTGTCTGTAACATCTTTTCTTTGGTCCCAGTGGTGGGCACAGGTATATAATCTTACTCTGTTTTAATTCTAAGACTAGATCAGGAGACCTCCCTGCATTTTTCTTTCTCTTGTCATATTATACATTATGTATACTGTGTCTCTTGTCATGTGTCACAGTAGTAATAATAGATGGCTGTGTTTAAGAAAACATACAGAGTAAGTTTCATTTTTCTTTTTTAGGCCAATCTAGCGATTAATCCAGCAGCCTTGCTGCCTGCAGCGGCTCCCCAGATCTCTGGAATAAAGCCTGTTTTGCCAGAATTGGCTTTTCCTTCATCTGAACCTGAGAGGATCCACAGTCTGGAAAGTATGCCCACTCTTCTCAGTAGTGGGGAGGCCGGCGTGAGTTTCGATCTTCCAGCTCAGGCAGACACGTTACACAGTGCAAACAAGGTGATGAAACCACCTTTGCTTGCTTGCTTGCTTTTTTTTTTTTTTAGCCAGAATAACTTGTATATTTCTTCCTAGTCCATCAGTTACACATCATAGGCTGCCTCCCATTCCCCATGAGAAGGAGGCACCTCTTCCTTCAGCTTCTCCATCCCCCTTACGCCTTCCTAATTCTGTCTTCCACTGCTTCTGTTTGTTACATTTACATTCTGCTCAGTAGCCACGTGAAGTCCCACTTCCTCCAGGCTGTCCTGCATTTAAAAGGTCTTTTAAATACAGAGCAGATCGCGTCCCTCCTCTGCTGGCTTCCCTGCTGCCCGAAGGAGGACATTCAAGCTCCTTGGTTTGGTGTTAAAGCCTTTTTACAAACCATGCTAACCAAAGCTTCCAACTTGCTCACCAACCACACTGTCAGCCTAAACTCCAGGCATACCAGGCACTGGTCCATGAGCACACACACCTCAGCCCCGTACTGCCAACAGCTTGGGCTGCTTCCTCTCTTAGGAATGCTCTTGGTCATTGACAGTCGGCCCAGACTTCACTGCTTCTGTGATGTTTCCCCGCCTGCCCTCTTGTCCTGGGCTCCCTCTAAGATCCTGTGGCAGTTATTTCCCTGCTGGTACGGTTCTGGCCCACTGGCCCACATGACTGTAGGGGTGTGCTGGGTGGACTGAACTCCTTGAGCTTGTGCTTTCATTTTAGTTGGTTCTCTTTTCTATCCAGTCTTCCTTCTCTAGAAAATCTTGGCTGATCTCTGAGTAAGCAACAGTACCTCGGATAACCCTAGCAAATACATTCATTTTAAGTATTTCCAAACTTGTGAAAAATAAAATATCCTTCCTTTTGTTCTATTTTTTGTGAGCCTTTGGTAAGGTGAAAGGTAAGTTTACATTGGCTACTTCTTAAAATTATTTGTGAAATTTTCTTGAAATAGGCACACACAGCCAAGTACTTTGGCCAAAGTAGCTTGTACCTTCTTAAAAGTATTTCACTCTATATTTTGGAAAATATCACAGATACTACGTTATTGCTCATAAGTAACTCCTATTTTGTGGTTATCTTAAAAGTTCTGATTTCTAAACCACATTTTTTATGTGAAATATTTAGCATTTGAAATTAGTGTTTGTTGACTTGAAGAAAAGAACGTTTTAGATTACCTTTGTTTATTGTCTTTTATCTTCCTGGTCTTGGAGCCTGGTTTTAGGCTAGCCCCTGGTAAAGGTTAGCACTAGAATTCCCCCTGATTCTTTCTTGTTTTGAAAGATACCCACATGTAAACCGAGGGCAGAGTAAGGGGCCAGGGAGGGTGTGGAGCACAAGAGTACCAACATGCCTACTTTGCAGGGTTCCGGCAGCAGATGAAGCCTTTTGTATGAAATTGGACAGATATTGCCCTCCAAAGACTCAAAAATGGGGAATATTAAAAGATTCAGAGTAATGCAGTCTTGGAGAAGCTATTAAATGTCTTTGGAAATCTTTAGGAAATCATCTCTTCTGTGTCTTAGATAATATCTTGATTGAGGTAGACCAGACAACTTTATAATATTTTGAGTCACTGATTATTTGCTATGTTAGTTTTGAACACTTTTTTTTTTTTTTTTAATCTTTAGCTCAACATGTTTTTTGTCATTGCAGAGCCGGGTCAAAGTGAGAGGGAAGCGGAGACCGCAGACCCGTGCGGCTCGGAGGTTGGCTGCCCAGGAGTCCAGTGAGGCTGATGATGTGAGTGTCTCTAGAAGATCCATTGCACACTTGGCAGATGGAGACATTTCACCAGGTGATGATCCTCAGCCACAGCCCAGGGCAGCTGGTGGACGAGACAGCTCTGAGGAGGTGGTGGTAGCTACCATTCCAACTTGGGCAGGCGGTCCTGTGTCTGACGTGGACAGAAGCTCCTTTGTGAAATCTCTGGGTCAGCCTCTTGAGGATGACCTTTTTGATTCTGGAGATATCTTCTCCAAGGGCACTGGATCTCAGTCCACGGGGAGAAGAAAAGCCAAGCCAAAGGCAGCAGAGAGCCTGGCCAACCCGCCAGGGGGAAGTAAAGAAAAGAGCCCCATGTTTCCTGTACTAGGGGAGGCAGGCAGTGATGATGATCTGTTCCAATCTGTTAAACGAAAACCAGCAAAGAAAACGAATCCTTTTCCCCTCTTGGAAGATGAGGATGATCTCTTTACAGATCAGAAAGGCAAGAAGAATGAGTCAAAATCCAACAGTCAGCAGGATGTCATCTCAAAAGCACAAGATATTTTTGAGGTAATAGGACATAACAGTACCTTTTTGGACTTGGTTCTATGTTAAGAGAAATACTGGATTGGCTCATTTGAGTCGTACATTACAATAATCTTGTTTCATTGCTGCTTGCTATCTACTTGCTTACTACTTACAGTTGGGTTCTTTAATTAGTAATTCCGAAAGTTACTCAGAAGTTGTTTTTTGTTTTGCTTCATGTGGGGGTGGTTCTTGGCTGGCCATAATGATCTAAATCTTGATTTTTATAGTTTTTATCAGCATGTTGCTGTAGTCCGCTTCCTTGGCATGTTGCTCTTGTGACCTATATAAAGCAGCTTCAGAGTACTGCTTAAGTGTTTAGCCTCTGGTTCCTGAGGAAACAGGGCCTGGCTGGAGTTGACAACTTAGTGCCAGCAGGAAGGCCTTCAGTGCCGCTCTCTGGGCACATGTTTATTGAGCCTCTGGGTACTGGAGGCACAAAGTGAGCTGGGACCAGTATGTTAGGGACATTGGATACAGACAGGGCAACAGATAAACTGTTTTCAGATAATGTTGAGTACCATAAAGAAAACATCTCAGGGCAGTGGAACAGAGGGATGGCTAGTTGTAGGAGCCACTCCTTCAGGTAGGACTGTTAGAGAAAGCTTCTCTACAGAGCTGGCGCTTCAGCTGGTACTAGAAGAAAGACAAGGACTGGGCCAGGCAGAGATCTGGATGGAGTAGGGATTCCAGATAGAGCAGGTCTCGTGGCTGTCCCAGAATGTGGTGGCAGTTTGCAGTTCTTCAACTTGATTTCAAATTGTTTTACTTGTTTTTTGGCTCAACAGGATGATATATTTGCTACAGAAGCAGTCAAACCCTCACAAAAAACGAGAGACAAGGAAAGAACATTTGAATCCAACTTGTTTGATGATAACATTGATATCTTTGCTGACCTAACTGTAAAACCAAAAGAAAAGTCCAAAAAGAAAGTGGAAGCTAAATCTATATTTGATGATGATATGGGTAAGTTTGATTTTCTACATTTGACACAGAGAGTGACTATTATTTATTTCTCTGGCTACCTTTGTGTGGGCCCTTTCTTAGAAAATGTTCCCCAGTGGGTTTCCTTTGGCTTGCTGTATAATCCTGAGTTAGGCTGAGGATGGATAAGTAAATGGACTAGTTATTTTGGTGAGACAACTTTTTGTTCTGATGGTCATCAAGGAATTTGAAAGATCCCAGAATTTGACCTTTATTTATAATTTAACTTTTATTTTAGTATGCCCCCTGCTAATCATCTGTGATAACCCTGCAAATTCTGATGTTATGAAGGGAGGGTCAGAAATGCCCACAGGCTGAAGTAGGCCATGGTGGCTGCCTCGGGTGTGGTGCAGTTGTTTGAGTCAGTTCTAACTGAAGAGGGTCAGGAGTTCAGAGAACGGAGGGGGGAGTGCAGGAGGAGAGCAGGATTATATATGAAAGCAGCTTATTACTCAGACTTAATATCTCACCAGAGATCTTCTGTGTTTATAAACATGCTTATTTTCCCCCATGGTATAACATCTACTTTATTAATGGGCAAGCTGAATGCCTAATCCTAGATGTGACCCTCCTGCTATGTCCTGTGTTGGTGGATAGGACTTGAGCTGAGGCCAAATACACACTTTCTCCTCTGTCCTCTTCCTCTCCCAGGTCTAGACCTTGGGGTTAACTGGGAGAAAGCAGCTGCTGCAGTGCCACATGGGGCCTATTCCTGGAGTAAGCCATGTGCTTTGTCTCTACCTGCTTCCCACCACAGGGGATGCAGAAGAGCCTTCGTTTTGTTTTGTTTTTTTTTTTAATTACAACAAAAGTTGTAATAGATACCTGTTGTAATAGATGAATACTATTTGGAAAATGTAAAATGTGAAAAACAATCCCTAAAGGTAACCATTATCAAGAGTTTGATGTGTTTCCTTTCAGACCTGGTGATGTTTAATAGAACTTTGTATACGTAGAAATATATACTTATTTTTTCCAAAATATGAATGTATTTTATCTGTTCTGCTATTCCTTTTGTCACTTAATGTCTTCCCATGTCAGTCCTTAGAGATCTATCTACTTTTTTGTTTTTAGTGGTTGTATAGTATTCCTTTGTATTCAGCCATTAGCATATTGAAGGTGCTCTAGATTGTTGCCACATTTCCTTTTTTAAAAACAATGCCATGGTCTTTAACATTTGTGTATAGGTATCTTTATGTACACATGCTAAAATGTAGGATAGAATCCTAGCAGTAACATTACAGGTGAGTAAGATGAGTCATGAAACACTAGAGGCAGTGAAATAACTAAACATGAATGTAGTCATAAAGACTTATATTTTTGGCGTTGACGTGCCTCAGATAGGTGCGTTTATTCTGAAAGAGGGGGACTCCTATGTTGGATTTCCCTTTGCTTATTTGTATTGCCCTTTCCTTTTAAAATCCAGTGGGAAGAGAATGTAGAAGTAGGTATAATGTCTCAGATAGTAAAGTCAGGGCTAGGATTGGAGTTCAGTTATCTTTCCCTTTTTCGTCTCCTCCACGTGTACACAACGTACCTGTGTGGCTGAGAAACTTGTCAGAGACAACCCGTGACTTGTATGAGCTCATAAAACTTAATTAGTAGCAAAGCCAGGACCAGAATCTAAGAGGCTTGACTCTTAGTGTTTTTGGTATCCCCTACTGTTACCAGACTTGAATGTTTGGTGATTTATGTAGATGTGTCTTACAAGCAGCTATTTTCTTGCCTAATCAGCAAATCCTTTTCTTTTTTTTTCTTTTTAAAGATGATATCTTCTCCTGTGGTATCCAGGCTAAGACAACCAAACCAAAAAGTCGGTCTTCACAGGCAGCACCTGAACCAAGATCTGAACAGAAGGTGTCCAACATATTTGATGATCCCTTGAATGCCTTTGGAGGCCAGTAGAGCATACAGGGTATCATATCTCACCCTTCAGCTACATCCTTGAGTTAATGATGCTCTCTTATGTACTCATTGTCTTAACTGAATTAGGAAAAGCAAATACTGGAACAGCTAGCTCACCTCTTTCCCACCCAACATACTTAGTATTTTTCTGCCCTGGTTTTAATCATGCTTAATACTGCAAAACAAAAATAAATATTTCACAGTGTTGTTTTTTTTTTTTTTTAAACTATATTTTTATTTAATTAGCCTTGATGGGGCCACAGTATGATTTGGGGCATGTTGGAGAAGAAACCTGTATGTGCCTTTCATGGATGGGCAGGGAATTCCAGAGGAAGCAATGCCAGACAGATGACCAGGAGTATTCCTTTCATGGATAGAAGCCCTAGTTTAGACCCTAGGCAGGTGATAGAGGAAGAGGATGTGAGATTATATACTTCAGGACTCTTTGCAGTGGGAGGTTTCCTCTGATTCCACTGAATTCTGAAAATGCCTCTATAGGTTCATTAAGGCAAGGTTTGGCAAACTGTGGCCCTCCGTCGTCTGTTTTTGTAAATAAAGTTTTATTGGAATACCCATTCATTTACATTGTCTATGGCTGTTTTCACACTCCCTACAATGCCAGAGTTCAGTAGTTGTGACAGACTGGACAGCCCACAAAGCCACCTATCTGACCCTTGACAGAAACAGTTTTCTGATCCTTGCGCTAAGGTGTCCATTTCCATTTCTTTGGAGCTTTGCATTATTTTGTGAATGAGGCAGAATGAACCCAGATAATGAAGGAAAAGTACTGAGGATGGAAATGTCCTTCTGTAGAACGGCACTGTTCCATAGAACTCTGCACTGATGGGAATATTCTATAACTGTGTTGTCCAGCATGGTAGCCACATGGATAGCTGACCCCTCCTCCAGTCTGTGTTTTCTTATGCTGTGCCATGTTGGTGCTAAGTATTCAAACTGTAACCATGGCACAGTCTTATAGGCAGGCCCAGTTGGTTTCATAAGTCCTGAAACCACTAACTTATTCCTTTGGCACTTTTTTTAAGATTGAACTTGGAATTGCTGATACTGAGTCGGAGATTTTGTACAGCCCTCACAGATCAGCTGTTTGTGCTGCTTCGCTCTGAGAGTGACTTGAAGGCAAAAGAGGGTTCTTATTTATTTTTTTTAAATTTTATTGTTATGTTAATCACCATACATTACATCATTAGTTTTTCATGTAGTGTTCCATGATTCATTGTGCATAACACCCAGTGCTCCACGCAGAATGTGCCCAAAAGAGGGTTCTTATTATACCTTCTGTTCCTTAGGTTACTTGTGCATATAGTTACCTGCACCTGTGTCTGACTTAGTAAGCATCTGTTAAACATAGTTTTCCTTTGGGAATGATAACTCTGAGCCATCATTAGGATTGATTCTGAGAAATTCATGAGAAATTAAGAGTTAGAAAATATGTAAATCGCTATTTTGAGAGGTTTGAAAGGGGGAGGGAATTTATACTTATTGGTCCTATGGTCGGCACTTTCCATGTTCTTTTATCCAGTCTCCATTAAGACTACCAGATAGGTAATGTCCTGATTTTACAGATGAGGCTAAAATCTGGAAGCAGAGTACAATAGTGGAACAAGTTTGGTGTTTTGTAGTGAGACCTAGATTTAAATCTGGTTCTAGAGATATTTGAGCGTAGGCAAATTATTTTACCTTTCTTAGCTTCTGTCTCCTTTGTCAACTTTATCAAGTTTTCAGTACCAACTTTGTAGGGTTGTGATGGGAGAGAATATGCAACAACCCTTGCAGACTACATAGCACTTGAAAAATGGTAGATGATGATGATGAGAAAGAATGATTTGGCCAATATAATGGAGCTTCTGTGTTGGAACCCAAGGCTACAAACTCATCTGCCTGATTCCACAAAACCTGTGATCTTAGTTCTTCCTTGACTGAAGTGAGGAGGCAGGTTGAAAAACTAAATTTTTGATTCATTATGATTCACTCCATCACAGGTACTATTTTAGAATTTGTATACAAAGATAATAACATCTCTGTCCTTAACGGGCTCCAATCTATTCAGTATTGGAGTTTAAGAAGGAACCAGGGTTGAGAGCCTGAAGATGTGTCTCATCATAAACCCCGGTGTATGCTCAATGTTGGATTGTGGAGATTAATTGGTGGGTGGGGTCTCAGAGGAGATACGAGAAAGGATAGGAGAGATTAGATATTGGGGTTCACTTTAGATGTAGTCCTCTGACTTAAGATGAGGATGATGAAAGCTGGATTGGGAGGAGGATTACTGTTCATTGTCATTTTGGTAATCCACCTAGTGAAATAGGCATTTTTGGTTGGAAAATCTGTAAGGGTTGTATTTAGAACACATGTGGGGAATGGGAGGGAAAAAGGAGTGGGGCCCATTTCAGGTTGGAGGGTTTATGTTGTCATCGTGTACACTTGAGTTCAGCACCTTGGGAATTAGAGGAGAAAAAAGAAGTGTGGCTGGGTTTACCCAACTGAGATTTAACAACCCAAGGTGCCCAGCCTAATACCTGGCCTACATCTCTCAGTTGGTAAATTGGATGAGGGATAAATAGAGGAGACCAAGAGAGGTACTTTGTGTTTGCCCTTGTTTTCAACCTAGTACGCAATGGACCCATATTTCAGATGAGACCAGTGAGGCCTTAACGTTAGGACACAGTGAAGCACGGGAATGGGGGATCTTTTAAAGGCAGGACGGCCCTGAAAGCACTAGGAATGCACGGGGTCTGGAAGGGACCCACTGGAGGGGGGCTGCCCGGTACCTTCCTCACCCCAGGACTTGGGGCACCTCTAAGAGCAACCTTAGGTGGCCTCTGGTAAGGTGCAGTCCACACCCTAGTCCGGCCAGAGATCAATTCCGCCCCTCCCAGCAGGCCGTGCGGCAGGTGTCCGGCCCGCCCAATTCAGTCCTAGGCAGGTGCCCACTCTTAGTAATAAAGGGCCAACATCCGGGCCTCGCTTAACCGACACCCACCACGGAACGCAGAGGAAGCCCCGGCTCCCGAGCAACCGCCGGCGTCGGGCAGCCAGGCCCCGCCCCCGTCCCCCGCCCGCACCCTCGCTGATTGGAGAGCGACGTGAGCGCTGGCGAGCGATTGGTACGCGGTGTCACAAAGGGGCGGGGGCGCGGCGGCCGTGGAGTGTTGCTCGTCAGTACTTCCCGCAGCGTTGCTCGCGGGGCCGCGCCTCTCTGTGGGCCTGCGGGCAGGCGAGCGAGTGGACAAGACAGCCGGGGAGGGCGCCCGGGGCTGCGGGCCGCTAAGTCGGGCCGCGCTGCCGCCGCCGTCCTCCGCGAGCCGGAGAGGAGCGCCGGCCGCTCGGCGCAGGGCAGCCGGGCCCCGCCCCCTCCGCCGCCGCTGCCCTGAGACCGGCGCGGCCCGACGCCTTCCCCGAGGACGTCGCCTTCACTTGCCGTACCTCCGCTGGCGCGGCGCTGGTGCCCCGCCCCGCCCCGTCCGACGGGTGCTGATCTGCCAGTCGCCGATTCTGACGCGGAGCCTGCGCACTGCCCTCCAGATCAGGCCTGTGCGTGTGGGTAGCCGGAGTTTGTCCCGGAGGAGCACGGGCTGCGCAGGTGACCCAGTGGGCTTCGAGTGTGCCCATTGAAGGCTCGAGTAGACAGACGTTGGCTTTGAGGGATTTCCCAGACCCGCTAGAAAATTGAGTCCAGGCTAAAGTTTAGGGTACATATGTATGAAGTGGTGGATAGAATTCTGTAGCTTGAGTTTAAAACAGGAATGTTTTCACATAATTAGTAGAAACAGTTCATTAAAAGCAGTGTTTTTAATGGTTGCGTAACGTTCTGGATCTCTTCGTATTGGGGGAAAAGTTTAAAAGATAACTGCCCTATGTGGCTAATATTCTTTACAACAGGATAAAGTCGATTCCTAGTGATATTAGTTATTTAGCGTCATTATTGGCTTACCCATCTTTAACTTCTCTCTCGTCTTTGTGTATTTTTTAAAGCTTTTTCAGAAGAAAGTAATGTTTTTGGGTATTGATTTAGGAATGTTTTTTGATGCCATTACTCTTAATAGCTAAGTATGTTTTTTATAAATTATTGGTAAAAATTCTGGAAGTGTTTTTTTTTTTTTGCTTTACCTGCCTCTTTTTTTTTTGCTCTTGCTTTTGTATAATTTAGCTGTTGATGTTCTTGCAGCATTTCCCATCCTGTTTTTGAGTCTTCATTGCCCCTCGTTTTCCAACATCATAGGGTTCCGTAATGTGCTTAGTGGAGAATGACCACGCACCACTTTCAGAAGCTGTCAGTGGGCCCCGGTGTTAATACTGACTAGGTCTTTGACCTGCTGGAACTTTCATTTGCTCCTCTGCCATCATCTAGTCCTCCAGTCTGGCTTAACCAGGTTTCACAGCCTCATTTTGTTCTCTCTCACTGTGTTTTCTACTGAGAAGTGTAACTATTTTTTAGAGGCATACATTTCAGTTTTGAATTTGGTTACCAACCTTGCTCCTTTCTGGATTTTGGAGATTACGCCATTGATTAGTTGCCAAACTTTTGGTGGGTGTTCCAGTGCAATTTAGTGCTGCACTCAGTTGTTATATTTCTTTTGGCCCATAGTTGCTTTTTCCATTCTCATTATTGATGAAGGACTTCCAAATCTGTCTGTTACCTTCTCCCCTCTCCACTTGTGTATTATATTCAGGGTATTGTGGAAGAGTGCTGTGGTGAAGGGAATGCTCCTTATATCTTTTGTCTCTAAATTTCTTGGGCAGGCACTGGTCACCCATGCCTTTTTTCAGCATTCTGGACCCCTGACTTCTGTTGCTAGAGCTGCTACTATGTAGGTGGGAGTGCTGTTTCCTTTGGGGAAACAGACACTGATAATTCTTTAGTACATTCTTATTTGTTGGAGCATGATAGGTGTGTTTTTAAGAATCCACATGTTACCCAAAATCATGTTATAAAAGCAGTTGTTTCAGTGAGGGGGGAAAAGAAGTTAGGGATTAGCTTCATAAAAATTCATTTTTCCTACAGGCACTTCAATGTTTTAAAGATATAAAAACCAAAACCCAAGCAAGACAGCCATTTATTTGGCTTATATTTAAGAGTTGTGGCCTTTTACCACTATCACCAGTGGTATTATTAGCATAGTACTTTGTATTGTTATATTTATTTCTCATTGTTTTGATAAATAGTATTATAGCACTCAGAGCAGCTGTCCTGCTAGCAACAGCTTTTCTTCTTGCAGTGCCATCTCTGTAGGACCATTAGCAGTCTTTACAGTGCAGTTCAGGTTCCCTAATTAATTCTACTTCCAGTTGGTGTTATAAAAATTCACACTATAGCAGAAATCCATGTATGTGCATGTATGTTATGAGCTGGACAAACTTTGGTGGACTTACTTTGGAGTGAATCATAGCATGAGTCTTATGGAAAAGCAGTATTTGTACAAACTTTTAGAGCATGACCAAATATTTTTTCATCTCTTAAGACAAGGGTAGTACCATATATGTTTCTCACAGGTTTGTTCCAAGGATCAATTGAAAGAGTGAATATTTATTTACTCTTTCATTGAACAAACCTTTAAT